AAGACCGGCGTGAAGTGAAAGTATAGGGGTAATGGGAGCCAGTGGGCAATGGTGGTCACCCAGATGTATACAAAACTTCAATCACTAGAGATGCGTAAATGGCCTACCTACTCCGCTATGTGCCCCTCACAATCGTTGCGAGCCGGCTGCGCCTGTATGGCAACGGCATCGGGAACGAGAGGTCATTTTTGTTGCGGCTTGCCGATATAAATTTCCTCTCGCAAAATAAATGGTAAGTATCACATTTATTGATCTACTTGTTTGTATCTTTCGTACGCCTTTATTCGGACATTCAGTGTAACGATTTTAAACATATATCACGTGAGCTGCAAATATATATATTTTGTTTTAATTTTTTTTTCTTCTTACAGTGCTTGTGGGTAGTGAGAATCGGATGACCCCCATTGCCCACTAGTGACCACTATTACATGCATTGTGATTGGCGTATACTATAATTTTGATTTAATAAAAAAAATTATACTCAACCCCACGTCTTCGACGGCGGCCTGTTCGCTTCAGTTTTCACATAAATTCAGAATACACCTGGAAGTATTGTTGTCTGAAGTCCTAATAATGAAAGTTCGGTGGATTTATGGTTGTTCAATACATTAAGAAGGACAGGGATGTACAATACGTACTGGAGCACCTTGCTTTGGCAAGTAAGCACTCCTCGGGGAAATAAACCCTTCCAACTTCCTTCGCAGCTACGGCAATACGAGACATCTAGTACTTATGCCCTTACCGAGTCCACAACAGTCCTTAACTAGATCTCCCATCAACCTTGTATCCCCTTTAATTCGTTTTTTACGTTCAGGCAGGGGGCGGAAAATGTACGATCAAAATCTAAATATGAAAAAATCATAAGATCCAACTGAAATATAACAAACATTGGATCGAGAATGAACACCAGCTCCGCAACACCAGCTCCGCACAATTATTTACTTACTAGCTGCTACCCGCGACAACGTCTGCGTAGAATAGGCTGAAGGTGTAACAGAAAGGCAGATATACATAAATTATAGACTATGTCTTATTCTGATGTATACGCTGTATTATTGTAAATTTTCATTAAAATCCATTCAGTAGTATTTGCATGAAAGAGTAACAAACATTCATCCATACATACAAACTTTCGCCTTTATAATATTAGTAAGAACTAGCTGCTGCTCGCGACTACGTCTGCGTAGAATAGGCTGAAGGCGTAACATTCAGACGGAAAGACAGGTATACCTAAAATATGTATGTAAATTATAGCCTATGTCTTCTTCTGATGTATAAACTATTCCTACATATCAGATCTTTATCTCCCAAGGCCGTAGTTTGCCATAGAGATCTCTGTCCTACCTTTCTTCATTGGCAAGGGCCTTTTTAAAGATGTAACGGGTAAGTACTTCGTGTCAAGTAAATCAACACACTCTTGTTGGGATTTACTTCTATTCTGTATAATCGGTACGAGTATGACGCCGCCCGCTTAACATTTAATATTTATAACTTTAAATATTTCTTTCTGGCTAACTATAAAGAGAATTCTGCTAGTATATCATTAATATATTATTCATTAATAACTTTTCACTATAGTTTAAAATTTATTTTAATTGCAATATGCGCCCATCAATTTCCTTTACTGTTTTTTCAGTTTCTTTTTTTATTTTGGTTTTGTTTCGTGTAGTGGTTATTTGATCTGTCCTGTGTCATCTACATTCTGTTTTGTGACTTCTGCTTCTGTGTATAACACAAAAGGCGCGCTGTTTGACATTTTCAATAGTTAAAGTATGTTATTTTCGTAGTTTTCAACTTATTGAGTGAATTTATTCTTGAAGAAAGAATTTACAAAAATAAAACAATACAAGGCTTTATTAACTTAACTGTTGATATAACATATGAAAAGTTATACACGTTAAACAAAAATGTTGATCTATGTAACATGGTAAGTCTGACGTTTGTAATATTAGCTTCTTTCTTTTGTACAAAAGACAAAGGTTTGGTTTATTATGATTGCTTTTTCTAATATATCAGGGTTTAAAATGTAAAAAAAAAACTTGGAATTCCAATATAAACAAAATATTCAAACTAAATTGAATTCATAAAATAAAATTTTAAATCAATATAGTCTTAATAAGTGGTGGATAAAATAAATCAATACATAGAATTAAAATAATACAATAAAGAAAAAAAAAATATTGATTTTTCTAAGTTGAAAAAAGCAAGCACGTTTATTTTTATTAATATAGTTTAGCGACTTGGGGATTTCTCCATACAGACTAAACTACAGTAATTCTGACTTGAATTCTTTCACAATAGGATTTTCGATATATCGATATTTTTAAATCAATATTGGAGTACGACATATTGAAAAAAATATCGATATATCGGCTTCCTCCAAAAAGAATAATCTTAAGTCAGCTAAAAAATACAGTTAATAATCCAGTAAATAAATTATTATACCTAGTTATTAATTAAGTATGGAGATATAGAAAAAATATATCGTATCGTTATTTTTAGACAATATCGATATATGCAGAGTAGAAACTAGCGATATTTTTACTTTCAGGAGCACAATTATCGAAAAAAATTGTTCGAATTCAAATGTGAATAAACGTAACGGATCATTTGTTATTGTTCTGTACCTGTTCTGTATATGTTCTGAACTTGCAGGATTTATTGAAGTAATACTTCTTTTGGCGAGTTAGGGAAAACTGAGGAAAGTAAATTTTTATGGTGCGAGCGCACACCGTAACGAAAAACCAACACCCTGAAGTTAGCTAGACATGTACGTATGTTTGCGTGACAACAGTATTCACGATATTTATTTTGTGATATTTAAATAAACTTTATTGAACTCTTAGATAATGCTATATAATGAAACTTTCAATGTAAAATACCTTTTTATATTGTTAGTGTCGTTTTTTCTACAAACGTAGAATATGGCGAAAGATAAAATTTTTAAAAAATTTTTATCTTGTTACGCCAAAGAAGTATAGCTTCTAACGCGTGTACATAAGTACACACACACTTTTTTATTATTAAATTTTGTTTTTAAGTATTCTATGTACATTAAAAATAAAATTTTTAGTCAATTTAAAAATTTAAAGAATGGTTTTTAGTAAACCCGATACTCATACAGAAGCACTTCTTTGTTATGCTATGTACAAGCAAGTTTACAGCCGAAGCAAGTCTTTCTGACGATACCGAGGAAGCTTCGCCAATTAAATACTTTTAGGCAATTTTAAAGATAACCGGCATAAAGTGGCGATAAAATATACTAAGGCGTTTAAAGAAAATCGATGTTTTTGCCCTTCCATTGACAGATTATAATCGGACAAAACTTTTGTTTTGTATCGCTCCAGTGGCGCAATTGGTTAGCGCACGGTACTTTTGTTTTGATCAGGGATGTGCAAAATATATATTTATGGTATCGACATTTTTAAGCAATATTGATTTGTTATTGAGAAAAAAATATCGATATATCGTCAGTTTTCACATGATTCATACATTTTTCCGAACCATTCAAAATTTGTAAAATAGAATATATATAAATAAAATAGTTTATTTGGTAAAAAACTTAAATCTTAAATCCCAAAATTGTTAATTGTCTGTTAACTTTATATACGTCTCACAGTGATGGTTTAATGGTATTAGTCTTGTATCTTGTATCTTGTATTAACTGATGTTTTTGCTTTCAGTCCCGAATCTATTAAAGCTTCATCGGACGCAGAACCGGTGGGCTAGCCAGAACCCACGGGTTTGGACCCTCCTCTATGGGTAGGGTCGCGCATGTGCTCATGCGTGCGTTTAATTATGGTGTGTCATCTAAGGGCCGTCGAGGTCGCGGTTCGGACCGAGACCCCCACGGCCGTCGACTGTGCATTTAGCTAATCGGTGGCTGGGAGCGGTGAGAACCGCCCCGGAACGCGGGTGTACCGTGTGTACGCGTTGTGTGGGTCTCGCCGTGCTCGGAGGCGAGGGCGAACTGGTGTGATTGTTGTTACACTAACTGTGGGTGTAGTGTTATCCGGCGGGACCCCCGGCGGTGGGTCCATCGTATCTAAGTCCTATTCGTCGACCGGGTCGATGAGAACGTTTCGCCGGCGACGCTTGTTTACGTTCGCGTTAGTGTCCGCGTTTAGTCGCGTTTAGTCGCGGTAGTTTGCTGCGCTTACTACCAGAGGGTTGGGATGATGCTGGGCTCTATCAAAGAACCGTTTTGTCAAATCTTTAAAATGTGCGCGGATCGTCGGGAGTCTGCAATAGCTGTGCAGGTCGACGTTGCGCTGATACTATTGCGCACCGGTTGCGCGGCGGTTAAACTTATTTTGTACTATTTGCAGCTTGTACAAGCGAGTAGGGTGCGTGTGGGCGAAGATCGTGCATGCGTAGGACATAATAGGTCGTACGCAGGTCTTATATAATAATAATTTGTGCCTTAAGGGTATTTTACTTTTAGCGTTAGTTAAATTGTGTAGCCGGCCGGAGACGAACGCGGCTCTATTACGAACGTTATTAATGTGCGTAGTAAATGACATAATGGTATTAGTGTTTTCGTGCACGCAGGATTAGTCTCACTGTATATTTCATAAATATTGTGGAGGGATTTTTTTAAAGTGCGCAACGATGCGCACGGATGCAAAGAGTATCTAGTAACTCTAAATAAAAAAAAACAGAATTGCATTATAAAAATATTTCCAAATTGACACGAATTCAATTTTCTAAAATAAATATCGCGATTAAAATATCGACGATGTATAACGATAATTGTATGGAAAATATCGATATTTTGATTTATCGATAATTTTTTGCCCATGCCATCTTAGATTTGGTCAATCGGTAACATAGAATTAAAGGTTTTTTTTGTAATACCTTTTATAAATAAGTAACTTAGTGGTTTTTAAGACATTTTTGTATGTTTCTTTTCTTTTACCCAAAATAATAATGTGCAAGTCAGTGAAATAAAATTAATTTTGTTGTGGGTGTTGATGGTAGTTTTGTTCCAAAATATAGCTATGGGACCTCCAAAGAAATTTAAAAAGTATGATTCAAAGCCAGGTGGTGAACGTTCAGGTAAGTTCCTTTTCATGTTTTCATCTTTTTGGCTCAATTTTTTTATTTCAACATGTTTTGGTGCTTTTTGTTAATATCCGTTTAGAATCACATAATACAAGACAGTGTTTTATGTTATTTCAGAAAATTTTATTTGGATGGTAATTTTTCAGGGAAGAAAAAGAAAATAGAAGAAGATGTGACAATTGATCTAGTGGACGATGACAATACCGAGAATGTTGGTGTGCCAGTTGCAGCCACACAGGATGCTGAAAAGAATGACCATGTTCCTGAAGATGAGTTTGGAGCAAAAGATTACAGGTATGTTATATACTGAAATTTAGAGTTTGGACATATTAAATGGATGGATGTGAAAATGCTGATAAACCAATGTTATGGCCAAAAAAGAGAAGCACAACTTGATCCAAACTAGATTCACCATGCCATTACAATTGAACTTCAACAAAATTATTTATATACTGGGCATTGAAAGTGTTATTAATACCCATAATAGAAAAAAAACCTAAAAAAAAAACTGCTAACAAAAAAGGTGCAGTAATTATGTTAAGCGATGGTAAAGGGGATGCTTAATTTTATGTAAGCTGGCTTACATGTGCATAAATTTAAATTCATGTTTGTAAAAATTATTACAATATGAAAGGAATGAGTTGGACTTTAAAATTTTAATTTGATATATTTTATTATTTAATAATAAATGTACTGATCACTTATTTAACATTTGTAACTTTAGGAGTCAAATGACTTTAAAACCAGACAATGCCAGCCGTCCCTTATGGGTAGCTCCAAACGGACATATATTTTTGGAAGCCTTTTCACCAGTATATAAGCATGCACATGACTTTTTGATTGCCATAGCAGAACCTGTTTGCCGGTGTGTATTTTTAATTATTCAATTTTTAATTTATTGTAATTGGTTTGTATATGAAAGTTTTAATGATTACAAATTATTAGACTTGTTTAAGAAATGGTAAGCATAAAATACTACTTAATGATTTAGTGTCACAATGCTTTATATTATTTCAGACCTCAACATATACATGAGTATAAATTAACTGCATACAGTTTATATGCTGCTGTTTCTGTGGGTTGCAAACAGCTGATATCATTGAATATTTACAAAGACTTAGCAAATGTTCTGTACCTGCAGGAATTATTGAATTTATTCAACTGTGTACCTTGTCATATGGAAAAGTCAAACTGGTGCTTAAACACAACAGGTTGGTTAAAATTTTTTTTTTTTTTTGGGAATGTTGCGGGCAGTTGCTGTCAACTAACCTAACTGTGGTAGATCCACGCAGCAGCCTCGGCTGTTGCACGAATGGACAGGCTCGTCCACGTAGGTACCACAACCTCACAGTAGACCAGCGTCATCATTACTTTCGCGTTTCGTCTGGTGAGTGAGGTAACCGGAACCCAATATTCAAAAGGTCAATGCATCTGCAACCCTCGGGTATAGCTGATGTCCATGGGTGGCGGTATTCGCTTAACATGAGGTGAACTGCCTGCTCGTTTGGCAACTTTCACATTAAAAAAACTATTAAAGTGATAAAAAGTCTCATATGTTATCACTCTTATTTAAAACATTACACTATATAAATATGGTGTAATGTTTTAAATAATATTCTGTACAGGGAGGCTTTTCTAAGTGTATCCTTTTTTTAATAAAATTCTAGACAAAGTATGCTATATAAAAAATGATAAATATTTAAAATCACTCGTAGTTAATTAATTACATTTATTTGAACTTATCTCAAAAAGTTTGTGATTTATGGGCAACTCATTTATTTTACGCATGATCATTCATAACTAACACGCAAGTTCGTTTCAAAAGTATATGACGCATTTATGAATGACTACCGCATTGTCAACAAGTTCTGTTTTTTACGGAATAGAATGGCTCGGTAGTATAATGGTTTATTTCAATAAACGATTATACTACCGAGTCTGAACCTCCTGGTGAATTTGGGCACCCTGTATAGTACATTTCCCAGAATGTATACAAATATAGCTGTGTTTTGTATACATCTTAAATATGATAATGGTCTCCATCAATAAATCACTCTGTTTTACACTCCAATTTTAATTGCTATTTTTGTCTGCTCTTTTTTGTCTCATATTTTAAATTACTCCAATCATTATTTAAATCATCTTGTGGCAAAAAGGTTATTTTGGCTGGCATATTATTACATGATAATTTGCAAGATCAATTACTGCAACAAACTTGTACATTACCAATTTTTCAATCTTCAATACAGGGAGCTCATATACCATTATTGCTTATATTAAGATGCCTGTTTGTACACTGGAAAGGATATAACAATGGATGCGTTTCAAATGCTAAAAAACAATCTTTTCGTACTTTTTCTACAAATTTTAATGTTCAATCTTAAGTGTTGAGATTAGCACTATAAAAAAATTATTAAAATAGCAATGGCGCCATCTCTCGTTCGAATTATCGTTATAAAACAATACTCGAAATTGTTTGTATGCTGGAAAAGATATGATAATGGATGCGCCAAGCATTGCTTCAAATGCTTAAAAACAATGTAGATAAAAGACTTTAAGATTTTCGTTGGTGTGGCAATCAGCCGTTTAACTTAGTGGCTAAATTGTCAAGCCGCGAATACCGAAGACATGGGTTCGATGCCCACAGCGGCAACAATCTTTTCGTACTTTTTCTATAAATTTTAATACATCATCTGTGAAATTCTGTCTAACTATCACGTTTCACGAGTGTGATGTATTTCTGTCACCACTATAACAAAAAATACTCAAAATCTCAAAAGTGGGGGGGGCTCTCATATAACAGACATGATTTTTTTTGCCGAATTTATAGTACGAAACCCTTCGTGCGCGAGTCTTACTCGCACTTGGCTGGTTTTTAATGTAGCAGTTTATCTAAATGAAAGGTATATTCAAACTTGTTTAAGGTACTTAGTAGAAAGTAAGCATGTTGAAGTGCTCCAGAAGTTGCTCAAGGACCCTATTATCCAACAGTGCCGACTGCGACGTGATGGTGACGATGAACTGTTATCGTCAGCTCTTCCCAACAAACCAGTTGCAGCTACGTCCAAGACTGGTAACTATATTCGTCATTTTTAATAAAACATTTGTGAGCTTAGGACAACACTATCCTGTGTTACAGGGAGTTTTTATCTATTATGCTTAATTTTATAGTACTCATAAGCATTTTGACGAATTTTAACATTTGTAGTGTCATTAGATTATCCCAGTTGTAGAAGTGACTTATTGTATCTTATTATAAATTTTGGAAAAAGTAATAGTCGGAAGGTGCAAGGTCTGGTGAGTATAACGGATGAGGGAGAGCTTCCAAACCCAACTCGTGCAGCTTAGAGATACCCTGTTGTGCACAATAGGGGTCGCGCGTTGTATTGAAGGAGCAGGGGCAATGACCGGTTGACCAAAATTGGTTGCAGATGTGCGAGCTTCTCCATCATTGTGTTCTGTTCTTCACACAACTGAAGTAATGCTCATGAGGTTTTGTAAAAAGCTGTGATGAATCACCCCGGAACTATACCACCAAACAGTGATTATCATCTTTCTAGGAGTAATTTTTCGTTTAGGGCATTGCTCGCTGAAGCAGGATCTAACCAACTTGCAGAGCGCTTTCGATTGCCGAACATAATCCATTTTACGTCGCACGTAACAATTCGGTTTGAAATTCCTGCATGAAGTTCCTATTGAGCAGCGCGAAGCATGTCTCGACGCGTACGTTGCGCTGCTGATCGTTAAGTTTGTGGGGCACCCATCTATCAAGCTTTATCATCACCTTGCCAATTTGTCGCAAATAGACCAATATTGTTTTGATGTTAACAAAAGCCGCTGCTAGCTCGAATAGTTTCATCAGCTTCCAGAAACGCCTTTATTTCTTCATTGTTGACCAAAGTGTCCGGACGATTACAAGGTTCATTGTTAAGTCAAAATTTCCAGAACTAAACCCGTATCAATAACGAGTTGTGCGTTTGTTTGTGAAGTTCTCTCCATGAACTTTGTTTTTTTTTCTTATGCGAAAAGTTGTCAAACGAGCAGACGGTTCACCTGATGTTAAGTGAACACCGCCGCCCATGGACATTTGCCACACCTGAGGGTTACAGATGCGTTGACAACCTTTTGAAAATTTGTTATGTTACGTGCCGTTTGTGCGGCGTTGGTGCCACGACGAATCTCATATTCCATTATTACACCAATTTTTAAAGTATCCACGATAAATTTTTAAATGTAATGAAAATACAAAGCAATATTAATAATCAAAAGACTTACTTTGTAAAAAGAATTTTTAAAACAACATTAATTGGATTTAGAATTCACAGCCAATCAAAGCTTTCTTTGTTTTAAATGGCCAGTTATTTATAAATTATTTTTTTTTTGTTTGTAATCTAAAAAATAAAATCAATAAGTAAAATCTTTTGATCCGAGTATAAAACGGCGAGCCAAAACACATAAAGTCACAGAATACAGGAAACAGTTTGATGCTATTAGTTAATTTGCTTTCACTGAACTATATAGCATCCATCATGCTATATAGTTCAGAAAAAAAGCAACAAAATTAAAACAACTCTTTTGATTAATCTACAAGACAAATAATAGGTTTTCTCGTGCTGGAGTTTCCTATAGTCTGTCTATATAAAATCTACAATTAAATTTTATGTATATATGTTTAAATTAAAAAATAACAACATACTTTTTAAATGTAGGGGAAGAAAAGCCAATCACAAATGGAGCGGTGCCTGAAGACATCAGCCAGTTCTACCAACAACTTGATAAAGATGATGAGGAAGATGAAACTACAGATATTGCCGCGAACACTGCAGTGGCGTTCGAAGTAGATCCTGATAAAATTGAGGTTAATACATGCATGTTATTAGAATATTTTTTTCTTCTGTGAAAATTTGACAAACAAGCAGACCGTTCACCTGATGTTAAGAAATTACTACTGCTCTTGGACATCTACAACACCTGAAGCACTGCACATACCTTGCTACACTCTAAAAGACGGTTCCGGGTCTGGCCCCTCTCGCCAGACGAAGTCTGCTTTCTGTGACCATACCAATTCCCCAGACGAGCTTGCCCATTTGTGCAACAGCTGCATAGGCCTGCTGCATAGGCCTACCACAGATAATTCTCTTAATCTCTGTAACTCCTTTGACTAAACTATTTTATTAATAGTTGTTATTTTGTAATACCAGTCATTGGGTGATTACCAGATTGCTTAAATAATTTAAACCTTACTTGTATCATGTAACATAACCAAAAGAAAATTATATGTTATTTTTATTAAGACAATATAAGTATACATATTTTTATATGAACATATATAAGTATAACAGTGAATAAATTAATTATTATGAATGTCATGGACAACTTCATCTCGATACTTTATTTTCGTGAGTTTACAGTTATACAAATATTTTATTGTCATTGTCTCTTAACAGTCTTAACGCAAGACCTTTATCATGTACCAAAAGGTTTGATCGCTAAATCTATCTGTGCACATTTCAGGTGATACAAAAGCGATGCATAGAGCTGGAGCATCCGTTGCTAGCCGAGTACGATTTCCGCAACGACTCCGTGAACCCGGACATCAACATCGATCTGAAGCCCACAGCCGTTCTTCGTCCATACCAGGAGAAGAGTCTGCGCAAGATGTTCGGAAATGGCCGCGCCAGGTACGATCATTGTTCTTCAATAGATTATTTCAATCCCAACACGACAGAAAGAGACAAGATATAGTATTATTCTGTCGTTCGCTTTAGTCCCTAATGTTATGGTGTGTAGAGATAATGCCATAGAGATAATGCCAAGTTTAAAAATCAATCTTAGCATTTTTAGAGATAAGTTATTTTTGTGAGGCGAATAGGCAGTTGGGTCCAGGGAAGTCGCGTGTTGTAGGGGAAACCGGGGTTGGTAGTCACATTTTCTTACTTAAAAATCACTGGAGTTTTTTAGATTTAAAAGAATGAAAGGGTATCCAAGAAAAGAATGTAAAATATCTTATTAATTATCACAAGAATAGTCAACAAATTCACTTATACACAACTTTCGTTAAAGAAAATTAGAATTTTTGTTACGAAAACAACAAAAATGTAATCATAAACAGTCACTGATTTATTTGGACGTTATACTTTTAAATAAAAGTGCGGACGATATAATATGAAGTCAATCCAAGTCAATCTGAATATTCAGAATCACAATTTTGGCAAATGTAATGAGGTTTTCCAAGTGTGCATGCCTTAAGAGTTCAAAACTTGCAATCGTGGTACTACATCCAGACTCCCTTAGACTAGCTAGCAGAATATAATAAAATAAATATAATATGGAGATAAACAGACACTTTTCCATCTTCGTCATTGTCAACTGCTTTCAATTTAATGCGCTTTCTTTTAGTAAGTTTTTTTTTTTTGTTGTTATTAAAAAACATAGATGTTTCTTTTTCGTTTCTTATTCTTTTTTTCTCTTCTAAATAGGTCTCTTCTAATAGGTATTCTCAGGCGAATCTGTCAGAATTGCCCATTTTTTATTATTCCTATCAGAGAGGGAACTTCACCCCAATTTCATCCATGTTCCATATTTATTGAAAAAAAACTGACAGCAAGGTGGCTCGAACCAAACTCCTGGATTCAGATCTTAAAATGGACAGAGAATGATGTCTCTTCATAATCGACGTAACCAATCGGGGCCAGCCAGCTTGTTTGATTCCTAAGAGAGTGGAACTTTCAACTTATTGAAGACAGCAAGCTCGTACATTATTATATAGCAAAATTCAAAAAGCCAACAAAAAAGCCAGCAGACATGCATGGAGTTGGTTGTCACATGTGACTACCAGCCCTTGTTAAGCTGAGAGAACCTACCCCAAAACACATTTTAAAAATTAACCCTAAAAAATAATTCTAAATCGGTCTATATTTACAAAACTATATAAAAATATCATGGGCGTGAAATTTACATACATAGACAAGCCCCCTTATAAAGTTGTAACACATGATTATATTAGCCTGCAGTATGGGGGCAATGTTTTACGAGGCAAGACTGTAACAGATCCCCCATATCGCAGTGGCGCTCCCACAATTACGTTGCAGGTCCGGCGTGATAGTGCTGCCGTGCGGCGCTGGCAAGTCGCTGGTGGGCGTGACGGCGGTGTGCACGGTGCGCAAGCGGGCGCTTGTGCTCTGCAACTCGGGCGTCTCCGTGGAGCAGTGGAAGCAGCAGTTCAAGTGCTGGTCCACGGCCGACGACAGCATGATCTGCAGGTCGCCGTCACCTCGACAGCTTCTGCGATGACACGTTCATGCCTTTGAGCAATGTTATGTCATACTGCGCGGCGTTTGAAAATTGTTCCGCTATACATTGTATGACATAAGTGAATGTGACAGATGATAAAGAACGTGTGATGCGGAAAGAGATAGTCTATAGAAGAGTCTATAGAATTGCAATCCAACTACACCAATTGGCGTATTTTGAGTAAATCTCTCTACCTTCCTCTTGTTTGTATATAATATGCTTTTGAGTGCAGTGTTATCACCGGAGGCTAGCCTTTTAAGCGTCATGACCACTACCAAAACAAGATGCTTTATGTCGTAATCGCTTCTACAATAGACCCCCATCAAACCATACATTAAGTAACTTAACTCTTCACTATATAAACATTAAAATTTGTTCAAAAAATGGACAAAGTTTTTCGCCGGTGCGGGAATCGAACCCACGTCTTTCGGAATCGCTCCTAGGTTCTTGTTAAAAGCCAACAACTTTGGTGCGTGTGTGTCAATGGGTGTCGCTGATCAATCCACCATCATTTGAACAGCTTCCTAACATCGCTTAAGTCACTGCCACCTGTAGCCCAGCTCACCCTCACACCTTCGCCACAGCTTTATAAATCACCTTGTCTATACTTCGCCATTTCAAGCTCATTCTCGAAATTTTCTTTAGAGTGTACATGATTATAGTTTTTAATCTTAATTGAAGCGTTTTGTGAACATTCATTTACGCAGTTTAAAGGAGACCTCGGCCTATAAATATACACAATATATCATTCTAGCGTAATAAATAATTAATTATAGTCTCGTGATTTATTATGCCCTAATACGGTGGTAGGGCCACGCAGCAGCCTCGGCTGTTGCACGAATGGGCAGGCCCATCCGGTTAAGTACCACGACCTCACAGAAGAACTGTACATGGTCAGAACAGTTCGTAAGTACCACGACAGACAGAAGACCGGCGTAAAGTGCGTAAATTATAATACTTTCGCGTTTCGTCTGGTGAGTGAGGTGACCGGACCTTTGCCATGCAGTGGGTCATATATAAACTACAACTTTTCACATAATGTACAGAGGATGCAGTGGGTCATATATAAACTATTATATTTCTATTAAACTTTCATACAAGTTTAATCTGTTTAATGTGTTGAAAACAATAAATAAATAAATTACAAACAATCTCTACATATGCACATACTCAATACTCATTTATGTTAAGCGCGTTGTACATAATTATGTATTTACGCACACATAAGATAAGGTAATATGCATTTATATCTGTAAACACAATGATGGCTCATGCGCTTTCTCTTTTTTTTTTTTTCTTGGGAATCGTACCTACGACCCCCGACGCCGAAGCCTCGTGAGATAAAACATCCATAGCGCCTTGTAGCGGCTTCAGATAATGCATTAAGGGGCTGTATCATCCGGGGAAGTACCTCGTAAGGTCGACGTAAAGCGATAGTAATTAGTTGTTTCCGTTTCGCGACACATAATTGATATTATGAAAACGTCGAATGATTGTTAACAATCTGATGAAAAACATTTCAGATTCACTTCGGAGGCAAAGGATAAGCCGATGGGAGCGGGCATCCTGATCACGACCTACAACATGATCACGCATGGGCAGCGGCGTTCCTGGGAGGCGGAGCAGACCATGCGCTGGCTCCAGGCCCAGGAGTGGGGCCTGGTGGTGCTGGACGAGGTGCACACCATACCAGCCAAGATGTTCCGACGCGTCCTCACCATTGTGCACTCTCACGCCAAGCTCGGTGAGCTACTACACTTCATCTCCTGCATTTACACATCAGTGCACCTTTCACCTGCGAAACGATGGTTGTTTAAACGTTGCAGATTTTAGTTTTAGTTCTCAATTTTTTTTTATTTTTGTGTCCACCTTTTTCGTCTTAGAATTTCTTTTCATGTAAGAAATTTTAACTGACACTTCGGATATTCGTGTTTATTCTACTTGCTGTGGCACGGGATTTAAGTTTCTAAGAATTCTTCTTAGTTAACCATAGATGCGACCGTGCGTTGCATGAAATGCAAAAAGAAATATGTAGAAAAAATACGATAAGGTTTTCGTCGGCGTGGCAATTCAGTTTAGCTTAGTGGTTTAAGCGTCTGGGATTTTATACATTTTTCTACAAATTACGGTTCGTCGTAAGTGCAGAGATTAGCAATATTAAAATTAAATACAAAATTTAATATTCTTCTTGATTTTTCCCTACTGACAATGATATTCGAAACTGCAATCTGTAAGTCCGACCGCCCAACCTCGAAGACATCTCCTCGAGTCCACTAGTATCATCGACATTTAACAAAATACAAATACTAAAAAATTCATATCGTAAATTGATTTAAATGTTGCACGAATAAAAAACAGGTCCGTCCGGGTGAGGACCACGACCCTACAGTACCAGCGTGAAGTGGAATTGTCATACTTCTGTGTTTCGTCCGGTGAGTGAGGTAGCCGCGGGTCACTTTATTAATAGGTGATAACGCATCTGCAACCCTACGGGTGTCGCAAATGTCCATGGGCCGAGGTTATCATTTAACATCAGGTGAACCGCCAGCTCGCTTGCCACCTTCTAAAAAAAAATTGTGAACAGCTGAATTAATTGGGCGTTCGTCGACAGGCCTAACAGCGACCCTGCTCCGCGAGGACGACAAGATCGCGGACCTGAACTTCCTGATCGGGCCGAAGCTGTACGAGGCGAACTGGCTGGAGCTGCAGGCGGCCGGCTACATCGCGCGCGTGCAGTGCGCGGAGGTCTGGTGCCCCATGACGCCCGAGTTCTACCGCGAGTACCTCATACAGAAGTTGGTACCGACCCGTTATACTGTAATCAGTATGGTCCCCTACCATACTGATGAGTATGCAAAGGATAAAATGGAGTCTGACTCGCTTCAATCTTCAGACCAAACAGACTAACTGCAACTGTCCGCAGGGTGAACAAGAAGATGCTGCTGTATGTGATGAACCCGTCGAAGTTCCGCGCCTGCCAGTTCCTAATACGCTACCACGAGAAACGAGGCGACAAGACGATCGTGTTCTCGGACAACGTATTCGCGCTGCGCCACTACGCGGTGAAGATGAACAAGCCGTACATCTACGGGCCGACCTCGCAGAGCGAGAGGATACAGATCCTGCAGAACTTCAAGTTCAACCCGAAGGTGAACACGATATTCGTGAGCAAGGTGGCGGACACCAGCTTCGACCTGCCCGAGGCCAACGTGCTCATCCAGATATCATCCCACGGTGGCTCGCGCAGGCAGGAGGCACAGAGGCTAGGTACATTAAGCGTCCAACATGTTATAAATAATAACTACTTTTATTAACGAATTGTAAATGAACAAAAACTCTCGGCACGGCGTAAATCGAACCTGCGTCTTCTGCCGATGACGCGGGTTCAGGGCGCGAAAATCTTGACATTTATCGACGTTCGTTCTATTGCATGCAGTTTTTATAATTAAAGTAGAAAAGTAAAGTAACAACCTATATATGTCCCACTGATGGGCAAAAGGGCCTCTGTTCAGATTGGTATTGTTAACTGATCCAATTTTTTTTCTTTGTAGGTCGTATCCTGAGAGCTAAGAAGGGTGCTCTGGCAGAAGAATACAATGCATTCTTTTACACACTCGTCTCTCAGGACACTCTGGAGATGGCATACAGCCGTAAAAGACAACGGTTCCTCGTAAACCAAGGGTACAGTTACAAGGTTAGTCATGACATGTATTTGTATTCAATGTACAGTTGGGGTACGACTGTAATAAAATCAGGTATCATTTAATTTTAACGAAACAGAATATGAGGTTTGCAGTTCGCCTGCCAGGTGAGCTTGGTAATAAAGATGGTATATATGATTAAGATAGTAAAAATGTTTTGTTATTGGGGAAACTATAACTACAACTAATCCTGAAATATCAGTCAAATTAAACTAAAATTAATGACGTGTTTTTGTCCATTATTATGAAACTATATAAAATTAAATAATAATATGGTAATTACGGTAAAATGTATTAAAATAATTATAAAGTTATTATCAGCTATTTACATCAATCACAAATTGTAGTCCCTTTCACAGCGAGCCAACAAGGTCTCGCCGTGTTGCATATGTCCCTTACTCGGAAACCCTCTCTAACACGTCGGAATTTCTCAATGAAAGCTTTTTAGGGTTTTTATATCCGCTGATTTTGTAGGCCTAGGAATAACCTATTTTCAGGGAAAACCCTAACAATAGGGGCAATGTGAATGGGAGTGTTTTCGTGCACGTAATTGAACTCGCGACAACGCTTGGCAAAATACTATCGTCTTCTTCATCAGCCGAGATCCAACACCAAATGCTGGCACATATGAGTTCAGAACTAAAATTTGACACATCAAATCCAAATACCGAATTCCATAATTATGTTCTCATAATGACTTGGCCAAAAAGGTTTGTTCATATGAAAATAAATTACAGGTTAAAGTTGTATACCATAATGACCCTCGCTATAATATCGAGTATAATTTCTTAAACATGCAGTTGTCTGCTTAGTGCTTTAGTTTCAAAAGGTATTAAAAGTCTATGTTTTGGAACCGACTAAGGAATTAATTTAAAAACTGACGAAGGTTTTCGTACCCTGAGCGTACAGACGATGCAAATTATAGCGAAACATAAGTTATGTTGATTAATAAAACACCTGATGATATTAATGGCATAATTAATATATTGATAACATTGATTTTTAAACGCACAGGTCATAACAGAGTTAAAAGGGATGGACCAAGAGCCCGAGCTATTCTACGGCACACGTGAGGAACAGGGAATGCTGTTGCAACAGGTATATAATAATACACCATTGTTGCTTTATTTATTAGTATTAGTACTATAGTATTTTACAACATCTTTGAGGTCGCAGTGTAAATTTATAACTATATTTATACTAGCGGTCCCAGATGTTGTCCTGTACACACGTCTTAATTTCGAAAATTTCAAACTTTTTTGAATAACTTTGTGAATCTAAACAATTCTCTACGCCACCTGAACACACACAAAAAATTTCATTAAAATTGGTCCAGCCATTTAGGAGGAGTTCAGTGACATACACACATACCGAACAATTACATATACAGCGTGTCGTTACCATCGCGACAATAAATGAACACACATATAGGGGATAAGTTTTTAAAGTTGTATTAAACGTTTAAATTCTTTAAACATAAATATTTACAGAGTTATTAAATTTTTCAAAACAAAGTATTTTAGAACACCCTTACCTATAAAAAGGGTAACGTAAAGGTCATTTGTAAAGGTCACAAAGCATATGAATGGGTTGAATGAATTTAAAAGAGACAAAACATACTGTTAGAAGGAGAGGCTTGTAATACGACGCTGTGGCGCGAGTTGTATAGGATGTTAGAAATTTTTTTTCTTTTTTACTTAATTAGTTTGTTTGAAAAATATTTTTATTTAATTATGGATTTTGTTTTACGTTAATATTTTTTTATGATTATTGGCTCGTAGCGTAAGACGTGTGTTCATTTATTGTCGCGATGGTAACGACTCGCTGTATAAAGATATTTACGTTAGTGCCGAATAGGTGGTGCCGGTGGCAGTGATTTTATCTTTTGAACCATACATCAAATAGATATGAAACCTTGTGCATGTAAATGTTAGATTTATCTAGGTGAGGGGAAGCGCACCGGGCAGCAGCTAGTGCAAAATGTAACACGACGTGTGGTGGAACAGGTGCTGGCGGCGTCGGAGAGCGAGTGCGAGGAGGAGCGCGAGGCGGGCGCCGGCGGCGCGCGGCGGGGCGCGCCCAGCCTCGCCAGCCTGGCCGGCGCCGACGACGCCCTCTACCTCGAGCACCGCCGCCAGCACAACAAGCACCCGCTCTTCAAGAAGTTCCGCTACTAGGCTTCTCGCGCGATGAACGCACTAGCTGTATATCACTCATAAATTATCGCTTATATTATATTATTTCCAATATCCAACACTGATTGCTCGTCGATATTTTTGAAAATTAATGTATAATAATATATATATTTTTATTATTACAGGTATAAAATATGATCGGCATTTACAACTCGATTTCAACTATACTACATAATAAAGGCATTCAAACTCGTTTTTACTTCTTTTTTTTAAGAACTCCTTATGTCTTATACCATATCATATAAGTTTTACTGTAATTCACAAATAATAGAATATACCTTTATTTTTCTAAACCTTAATACGTTATTAATAAAATTATTATCCTATATCACTGCCCTTAAAGCGGTGGAGTATGGTATTACAGTTTGTGTGCCAACCATCAAAGTGGACCCCAATCACTTGCCAGACTTTCCAAGCATAACGTAATGCACGCGGTACTCCTTAATTTTATGGCATGGTATCACTGTAAATTTTTTCCACCATTGCTTAGCTCTGGTAATATTTGTCGATTTTAAAAACTTGTCCCAGCAGTGCACCAGTTGATAAGTGTTTACCATTTACATTTTCAAAATATATAGGATCGCCAATCACACAAATGAACATATTCAAAAAAACGGATCAAGTTCGAATCGGATTCGCGCACGAAGGGTTCCACACTTATTAAAAACTTTAAAAAAATTATGCCTGTCTATGTTAATCCCGCTGAAATATTTTTAGGGTCCCGAACATTAAAAGGTAAAAAAGGAAGCCTTATAAAATCACTTGTCCGTGTGTCACCACCGATTTTCTCGGGAATGGGTGGACCTAGCAAGTTGAAATTTATATCAGATACTGTTTTGATGATTTTATAGGCCGTATAAGGTGTATAAAAATCAACTTCCTGGGTCAATACGATAAGAGGATATGGACAAATTTAGATTTTCGCGAAAACTTGTACCAAAATATACCTTCATTTTCAAATTTTATTTTTTGGAATTTTCCCTTTACTTGGGCTGTAATAAGACCTTCCTTGCTTTTAACCAAAATTGACAATTCTAATTCAACCGGAAGTCCCTATAGGTAGTTCCGTACCTACCGAAAGTAGGCGGTAGGTACGGAACCCGTATGAATTCGACTAGCACTTGACCGGTTTTTTAGTATTTGTTGTTATAGCGGCAACCGTGAAAGTCTCTGTCAGACATCGGAGTCATAGTAATAGTCCGTTGTGCCCTTTGTGTACGGAACTCTAAAAATCAAAGCGCAAAATCTTAAATGTTTTAAATAACACCGTCCAAATAAAAGAGCTTATACAATATGTTTATTGCAGTGATTCAAAAAACGACAACGGCGTTCCAGAGTGGGCAATCGTGGAACTTCAGGGTCTCATACAAATGAAAACAGAAGCAGCGACTGGTGCCATAGTCGTTGGTGATTTGCACTTCTATAACAGAAACAAACACCCAGTACTAGTTCTCGGCCATCACATACTAAATGGAAAGGAAATGAAATTGGAACACCCAATGGCAGTTATAGAGAAGATTGAAATCGAGGGAAAAATTGAATATAAAGTTAAAGCTATTGTGAAAAAAAAATTGTTATTTAAATCCAGACCTAAACCAATAATCTCTCATGTGTCCGAAAAAATTTAACCCATTAAACGATAATTGAATAATTGTAATTAATTAAGGATATAATTATGTTCTACAATGATATAAGTACAGCTCCCTATTCATTTGAGCATTGTATGTGAAACTGGAATGATGAATCATTGCAAATGTTTAAATTATAAAAAAATAATGCATATTTCACAATATATGTTTATTTAAACAATATATAATATGCTACAGATAATCTTTATGCTTTTATATACAGTTTAACACTTATCCCAGAAGAAACCTGAAAAAATAAAATTTTGACCGTTCTATATTTGTAATCTACGTGGTATTTAAACTTTACTAGCACTTAGCACTTAATCTCTTGTCTAATTATAAACTCTTGTATTCTACTGTTTTATATAGGTTTTTTACTTTTCTTATTTGACATCAAAATTATTTCCATTTTAATAAATATTATGTATTTAAAAAAAAACTGAATTACATTTATATTATTTGTAACGAAATTATTTTCATTACATTAAATCACTGAAAATCTTCATAATTTACTTTATTACTTGGTTACATTTTTTTTCCTTGATAACAAAACAGTAAACAAATGTGTATGTGTGGTAGATTTATTTGTCCCTATTTCACCGTAATAAAAAGTTGTTTTGTTTTCTATGTGTAGTTGAATTAAGTTGATGTTCTAGTGTGAACCTAGAAACAAACACATGACAGAAATTTTATATGCTGTTTTTACAATTTCTAAACAATTTTATTGGTCAGCACCATCTTTTAAACGTACTGTATCGCGTCTTTTTAAAAGCACGAATATGTTTATTCCTTAACTATTTTTACATATCTATAAGTTTGGTTCTTTTAAATGGTTCTCAAAAAGAAGAAAACAAATAAAAGAATTGTAAAATAAAAGTTTAAATTTTGTAATTATTACGAAAGGCACTTTATTTTTTAAGAAACAGAAATAATAAATTATTGCTATAATTATATGTTTAAACCTAATTGCGTAACTTATAAATTTTTATCCAAAAGAAAACATAAGTCTTAATAGGTTAGGTATTTAAAAAAATGCCGACAATTTTGTACACGAAGGGAATGAATTGCAACTATAATAAACAGTTTTCATAATAATACGACAAGAGCAAATGCATGATTTTCTTCATCAAATGTGTCATAATCATTCAATGTAGGTAGAACTTTGGCTGAAAATATGCACTAATTATACTAAATTATAATATAAACTCATAAACATAAAAATCTAAAACAAAGACGTAAACAATTTCATCTACACCATAACATTATAATCATAACCCTAACACTATGTCCCAGGTTCCAACATTAAAACTGCAAAGTTATTTATAAATTCTATATCAACACGGTAAAAAAGTCTATAGAAATAAAATTTAATTATCACTATTGACCATCCTGTTTAACTTTTTTGTCGCTATAATGGTTTTAGAATAATAATGGGAAAATTGCAGATTTAGTGAGAGGTGTTTTTGGAATATAAAGTTGGCCGATAAATGAAATGTTTTTAACCTCTATTATTAACTGCGTTTTCTCCAAAGGTAAATAAGTATCAAGAGAAGTAAAAAGACAAGGACAAAATAGCATGACTTAAGTTTACAAGGAGGGAAAGGTTTAACTTATTGACAAGTGTAAAGAAGAATTCATTAGATTCTTAAGCATTTCACATTTATCGCCGCAGGAAAACCATTGCAAACACTCACACTAAAGTTACTTTAAATAATTAAACTAATTTATATTCAAGAATTCTAGAAAATAAAAATTTTGTACAGTATTTATTGTTGAAACTTGGAAAGTAAATGTGAATATATGCAGATATACACCCATCCAATCTTTTAAATTTCCTTCATACTATCCCACGGTTCAGAAATTATACAATTGAAATAATAGTGTTTTGTAGATTACTATGAGTAACCTCTAAAATGAAATACAGATGTATTACAGTATGTAATTAATTTTAAACACGTAAGATATGTAAATTATCAATGTCGAAAAGCAACACTAAATACCGCTTAATGTCCGGTCCATACATTTAAATTTTCACATAGAAAAAGTATTTATAGTGCAGTCAGTGATGATGTATCACTACAGACATTTAAAAAAATGGACAAAATGTGTTGTTAATACATAGTGTAAACTTATAAATTAAATCATTGACAGCAATTATATCTAACCCGAACCAAGAGTAAGGTGTGTAATAAAATCTGCAATAGTTGGAATCTTTACACACATTAAATCAATTAATCGAGAGAAATAACAGATTAATATAACTATTAAGATTCACTAATGCACCAAATTTTATAACGATGCGGTGAATTACGCGGGGTCTTGTTCAGTTCGCAGCAACTCTTGGCCTTCAACTGATGTCCAATAGTCTACCAACAAGTCTCGCTCCGTCTCCAGACAGGAAAAGAATGAGGAGTCAGAATCCCCACTCTTCCTTATACCCAGCAGTTGTTTTTTCAGCAGAATATTCTGGAAGAATGTGGTGAGAAAAAGTACGATAAGTACAGAACAATAACCATAAAGCATTTTCGTATTTTCTTTAATTATTCAACTCTTGCCTAATTATAAAAATAATTCAAAATTCGGTAAAGTTACATTGCTTAAACATACAAGCTTTGGAAGGTCTACTTTAATAAATTGACTCATACTTATATAGCAACACAGATGATGGAATATAATGGAATCAAAAGCGAGTCTCTACTATCTTATCAAATTGGGTCGCGACCCATTTGATGTGCGTATTAATTGTAATTGCTATAGAACATTCACTGGTGACAAATGTGGATTTTGAAAATATTTCTCCTTTTAACTCTGTATAAGTATATTTTGGTCATTTCCGACGACAGTGATGAGCCCGCATTATATTATTATGGTTTAGTAAGTTAAATTTAAAACATTACATTCTCACATGACTACCGAGATTTCAATTTCATGTTTTTATTGTAAACAGTTATTAATAGTGTCCGACCGAAACCGAAACCGAATTTCGGCAACAGTCTCAGTTTCGACCGAAACCGAAACTTCTTTAAAAGGATCATGTTTTGAAGGAAAAATAAATATCTTTATATCATATAGTTATATAGTCTTCGACATTTTCACTTATTGGTATGATAATCAACATAACAACACAATTTAAGAAAAAAATATTAATTGCGCCTTAAAAAGACTTCAAATAGGTGGTGACTTAAAGTAGGTTTATTTGAGTTAGATTCTCTTTTGAATATTCATAGACATTTTAAATCTAATATATAAAATTCTCGTGTCACGGGGTTCGAACTTGAACTCCTCCGAAACGGCTCGACCGATTTTTACCAAATTTTATATGCGTATTCAGTAGGTCTGAGAATCGGCTACTATCTATTTTTCGTCCCCCTAAATGTTAAGGGGGTAGTCCACCCCTAATTTTTTTTTATTTTTTACATAAAACTTTTTGTTTCTATTTTTTTATGACACAGCATACAAAAATACATCCAACCCTAAATTTTCACCCCTCTACGCAGACGTAGTCGCGGGCAGCAGCTAGTATGAAACATAAAATTACCTATTTAAGTTGTTTCCTAATAGCACAATAGAAACAGACTAAATATTTAAGTAATAAACAAATAACATAAATCACTTTTATCTTAAGAATAAATTAACTTCTTCTAAACTTATAGCTCAGTTTCTATGACCTTCAGTAAAAAAAAAAAAAAAACAAAAGTGAAAAAGCTGATCAGACTTTCAGTGCCACTTTTCTCAAAGAAGTTTCGCTTCCTTAAATTTTTTAGTGACAATTTGTGAAAAGTTGCACGTCAGAGATTATTTCTATTTTATAACGCGCTGATCATGGCCGATCATAGCGCGAGAGAAAACCGAACTTTCGGTCGGACATTAGTTATTAATGATAGGTTTATAAAGACGTTATTAAATTTTATGTATGCCCACATGAAATTTAAGTTTTAACATTAATAATTTATTGCATGCAATTATTGATGTACTCAAGATTTTATTACATTCATCCTGGGTTAGTAATAGTAAACCTTGTCTTATGACGTTAGCGGTAGAAAATTGTATTTAATTTATCCTTTTTAAATAGCTTATTTGGTAACTTAAAGCAAGTAAAAAATGCGTTTAGACTCTAAACAGATCTTCTGATAGAAGTGTGCGCATTGAAAAGTAATCGAAATGTGTTTGTTTAATGGTCATTAGTTAGTTGTTCGTAAATAATTGCGAAACGACAGGTGTTCAACCAGTATCGGGGGGACCTCATCTCTCCAGGAGGAGAGCGAACGGAGCTTATCGCCGTGCGGGGCCCGGCAGGCGTGCTCGGCGCTGTTGCTGCGTTACTGGCGCGCCCCAGCCCTGGTGCGCCTGTGCCGCTGCGCACGCCGCCAGCGGTGCGACACTCGCGCGGAACCCAACAGGCTCGTTGAACTCAACAACAGAGCCTTCTTCCAGGTATCAACCACTACATTTCTCGAAGACCATAAACTCCTCGTACGGGTAGAGTCCACAGTTGTAAATCTGGTCCCATGTCATTCGATTGGAAGGTACGATTATAAAAGGAGTTTGTAGAGTTTCAGTTCTTTTGAATTTCTGGTACTCTCAGCCTAGCTCGAGGGTTTGTTGAGTTTGGCACATTACGAATACGCACGTAACTTCAAGTATTTAACACCACAAATTAACTTTTATAATTTATTTTTATTTTATATGTATCTCAAATGCCGTATCGAAATTTATTTTTGGGACTAGATTTCATACAGCATGGGAGCATACAGCCACGTTGTTTTTTTTTATTACCTATTCTTCTAACTTAGTATATTGTTAATTTTTATTTTCACTATCTATGTGCTCTTTAGAAATCTAAACTATTTATTTTAAAAAAAACCACAAGAAACCAGGATATGCGAGTGCGCAACAATGGTCAAAACCCATCTTAAAATATTTTAGTCAAGGTCTGTAATACAATAGCCATGGGTTTATTTTCGCCAGACGATGGCCTAAGACAATGCTAATAAAACAATTGCAGTTCTGCACACCCGTGGACGGATGGCCGGAATGTGGCGTCGCCGACACGCCCCTGGTACTGGAGACCGAGTACGACCGCATGGACCCCGACGAGCTGGAGAGGATGCACCACGAGAACCGCCAGCTGACCCCGCCAAGGGTCACGATGAACTGCCGCTGCCGCTACCCAAACTACTGGCGCCTCGACTCGACGCCTACCAGCTCGGTCGCCACCTACCGGTGCGGTTCCCTGCCGCTCTGCAAGAGTGGCGACCGCTGCGGCAACGTCAACTACGACCTGAACGCACTTTACCAGTCGTGCCTCTGTCCCAGGAACCACATCTGCGTGCACAACGGCGGCGTAACCAACTATTACATATCGGAGGCCCTGTACCGCGGCAAAGGATGGAAGGCCTACTGTCAGCCATTGAGCGACGGCTACGACTATGACGAATGAAAAAGTTGGCAGAGTTTTTTCCTTTATTTTTTTTCTAATAATTAAATTGACTTATCTTGTCATCTTATTCATGAAGCCTTCATTTACAATAACCTTATTAAACCGACTTGTAATCTGATCACCAGACCACGTAGTTTCGTAATGTCACCAGACCACAAATTCATAAATGTAACCTTAAAGGTTTAATTTATATACAAGAATTTCCAGTGATACGATGGAAATAATTCTATCATGTTCAGTAGATAATACGTATGGGGAGTGCTTTATTCTTTGGTAAGTACCCACAAGTGCACATGATGTCACATCTTTTAAGCCACACATGGTAAGCCAAACTGTCCACCAGCCGCCACCATCGGTCCCACAGTGAGACTATCTTGTCAAGCTTGAAGAAGCAGGCTTGGTAAGCGCAATCAGTTACCTGTAGGGGCTGGGCGGCAATGTCCTTCACGATGCTCCGCAATTGATCGTTGAAGTGTTCTGGCCAAAGGCACCTGGTCAGCAAGCCGGCTTGCAGCGCCTCGGAGGCCGATATCCGTCGCCCGAACACGACCAGGTCATTTATCTGGAAGTGGAATGAAAACTATGGTTACATCTAAATTGATTATTTGGTTTGTTTGGAGGACAAGTTCACTTGCGAATATTTTCCAATATACCCACCGCCTCGGTGAAATTCGTTTGTGAGCCCCCTGGACATGCACCTTTTTTGCACATCCTCACATATCCTTACCGTCGAAGGCGCTGATTGTCCACTGCAGATCAATGCCTCTGTCGCGATAGCCCGTGAGCCTTGTACCCTTTTTAGTCGTTTTTGACGAGAGCCAACGAATAATCCTAGCCCTGAATGGCCTAAGCGATCAATCAAAAACATTTTATAAGAGCAACAGCCGATAACAATAAAGGTCAGAGCTTCGGATCCTGAAGCCGTGATAGCTCAGTGTCGGGGCGTTCGCCTTTAATTTTATATACTCGAGCAACCTGAGTTCAATCCCCGGTGCCTGCACCAATGAAATTTTCAATTTTAAGTGCTGAATTATCACGGGCTCAGCGGTGAAGGAAAACATCGTGAGGAAACCTGCAAATTTTCGAAATAATAACAAAAAAAAAATATTTCGAAGATTTGTGAAGTCCTCCAATCCGCAGTGGGTTGCGTGATGGACTGTGCCCTGATATCTTCTGTACAGAGGAGGCCTTGCTCAGCACTGGAACTTGTATAGGCTGATACTTTTTTTCGGATCCTAATAGAGAGCAAGTTTACATTTCGCAAAAAAGCAACCTGTCTGGTGGGGATTAAACATGATCTTAAATAGCTCTTATTAATACTGCAGTCACAATCAGTAACTGTTCATAAAGCTAAATTAAATAAAACATCTGACTGGCTGGAATTGATATTATTACTCTTATCAATATCCGACGATGACAATAATACGACGTTGACAACCTTTAAATAAAGGCCTCAATTACGTCACTTAGCAGACGAGACGCGAAAGTTTAACACTTCCATTTCACACCGGTCTCCTGTGAGACGCGCCTGCCTATACGTGCAACAGCAGAAGCTGTTGCGTGATTCTATAAAAAAAATGGAGTTGAGGTGTATAAGAGGGCAGGCTCACCAGCGCCTGCGGCAGAGTGGTGCGCGGGTGGGCCAGGAGCGCGCCGAGGCCGGGCGCCAGCGCGCCGTGGCGGGACGGCGCCGCCCCGAAGGTGGCGCTCTCCGAAGCCAGCGCCACGTCGCTGCGCGCCACCAGCGCCAGCGACACGCCGCTGCAGGCGCCCCACACGCCCGTGCACAGGAGCTTGCTGTGCTGGTCCAACGTGCTCAACAGGGACCTGGAGCAAAATATTTCAGCTTCATTAAGGAGATGATAACTGGCATTGGCGAGCGATAGCAATTGTACATACGGGAATTCTCGAGTTCAAATTTGAATGAGATTGTTTTATATGCTAACTCATCAGAATATTTCAAATATATGTGAAGTCCACCAATGTACAATCCACAGTGGGGTCGGGTGATGGATTACACCCTAATAACTACTATAGAGAGGAGACTTTTGTCCATCAATGGGACATACATACATAGGCTGTTACTTTACTTTAGATCCGCAACACCGAAGGAACGCGATGCCTGCTTTTAAAATGATGGCCACACATTTGACTGGAAATATTTCTGATTTCATGCTGCTGTTCTGCAAGGTCGTGACACTTTGTCGGTCGTGCGGGCTCATTTATGAAAAAGCATATTTTCAGCAGCGTGGCTTTACGTCTTAAGCTCAAATTGAAGTTAATATTCCTCAGCGCTCCAACTAAGTTCATACAACACAGGCAGATTCTGTACCAATAAAGTGGGATAACTATGTCGTGTCTGCCTGTCGCAAAAGGCAACTAAAAGGGGACATCGACTGGCACCAGTAAGAAGTGGTCTCGAGCTGTTGTATGATGGTGAAGGATTCGAGGAAGGTTCATCCTTCTCTGAGGCGAGCTCACGCGCAATACCGAAGAACACCAGTGCGTTCCGTATGTTTTACATCAGTAATAAAGTTATAAAAATCGTACATCGACTGTAACCGTGGAGACGGTGGGAAAATAAATTCTCAATTCGTTCAAAATGAAACATAAATGTTGTAGCAACGAACTTTTCCTCAAGTTTTAAAAAAAAAAATTTGTAAAAACTTGATTCTGGCATTGCATATTGCGCAACGCATAACTAACTAACTTCTTTGTAATGTCATACTGTCAAAAAATAAACAATATTTACCTCACGGACTCGGCTATTTCAAATGCATTCACAGCTCTTCTTTGTTCATCATCAATCAATATTGGTCTTAAATCTAACTTTGAGCACAATGTGCCACATTGGGATGTAAGTAGGGTGACTGATATGTCTTTTCTCGCATCAACATATTGCAAGGCCTGTTCTAACTCCTTAAGGACCTAAAACCATAAATATTACTTAATAACTAAGAAAGCCATTAGCAGATTTAAATAAAAAAAAATGATTACAATAGGCAAATAAAAAAAACGTAAATAACTAATACTATTTTTATGACACAAAAATAAAAAGGATAACTTAAGTAAAGTAAATACAATACCTCAACATTGTATCTAGGTGCTTTTATTACACTTATCTCAGCTAGTCTTTGCTCAATATTTACAATTACACTCTTAAATTCATTTTCAACTACCACTTTTGGTACATCTATTTCCTTCACTTTTTTTTGTTTTGGTGCCTTATCATTTTTAGTAATTTCTCGTTTCCTTTTGTTTAAAGCAAGTGATAGTTTAGATTTAAGTTTTTCCTTTATTGACAAGCAATCATCCCTGTTTATCATTTCAGTATTTGATAAATTAATAGAATCTGACATGAAAGATTCTGTTCCTTGGTTTTTGGCTTGTCCTACAGTGGTTTTAATGGCTTTCTCCGTTGAGAGTTGTGATGATCGTACATTAGTTTGACCTCCACCAGATTCTACATCGCTTAACCGCCTCGGACTCATACATGTACTTGAGTAGGAACTAGATGAGTGACGGCGATAAATTATTGAGTCATCTGCACTATGTGTCTCAAAGTCTTCACAGACTGAAGGAGACTTTACAGAACTGCTTAATGATACCCTGTGTTTTCCACCTAAAATTCTTTTTGCTTCCCCATCTTCATATTTTGATGCATCTTTCTTTCTCTCTCGAAATTTCATTTCTTTGCCCTCTGGTGTGGAACTTTGCAACTTTTTAATGAACTCTGCTTTTGTCTTAACATTTTTCTTACCTTTTGGTGCTTCAGGAGTAAGTTGGTATATCATATTCACAGCCCCTTCATCCATTAAAAGTTTATCAACCTCTGACAATCTCTTATTTTGCTTTGCATTTTTAGGAGATGGCTTCTTCCACTGTAGTTTTGATATAGGAGACTTAGATTTTGATCTCAAAATTGACATTTCAGATTTGCCTTTTTTAATAGGTGGAGATTCTTTATCATGACTTGTTTCCTTGTTTTTAGAAAGAGATTTACCTTTAGTAAATGTATCTGGATTATCTGGATCAAAAATAACCTTTTTTTTAATAATTCTTCCCAACCTTCTTTGAGGTTGACCCTCATCCCCACTTTTACATTTTTGGTTTTGGTCTTCACTAGCCGCAGAATCAATTGAAGTCCTGATAAGCTCATCTTTGCATGTAATTGCTAACTGAACTTCTTTTAGCTCATCAGATTTAAAAACGGAGTTTGTTTCTTTTATTGACTTTACTGATTTATCTGTTTCTATTGTCTCTTCATCTTCCCAATCTTGAACCAAGACATTAATAATGTTATCCATTTTGTTATCCTCTTTCTTTTCAACCTTTTTTTGCTTTGGCATTCTTTCAAAACTTTTCTTTTTTTTACTATTTTTCAGTCTTGTGAGTTGTTCTAAAGCTAATTGGGCTTCTAATAATTTAGGTTTAATTGTACTGTTTTCGATAAGCTCACTAACTTGATTAGATGACGATCCACCATCTTTCCCTTGTAAAATATCTAAGAGTTCTTCTTTGTTAAAAACTTCTTGACGCCCAGAACAATTATTGTTTTCTACATTGTCAGTTACATCTGAAGACCTTAAGGCTTCACTCAGTTCTATGCCTTGACCTAATTCACTCAAAATATTATTAGCAGCTTGCTCATCTGAATTAGTTTCCTTTTCGTTTAAATTGTTTTCATTGACATCATTTTTCTCAATCAAAATTTCAGTCTTAAACCTAACTTTGTCATTACTGGACGACTCTTCATGATTGATTACAACCATAGAAGCCTCTGCATTATTTACAGGAACTGGAGATGTCCTGTCTGAAGTATCTTCGACACATGATTCTGTGTTAGAGACTTCAACCATAGGCTCAGTACTTTGTACCACAACTTCTTGATACACAGGTCTATCTAAACCATCAATTTCCATTTCGGCATCAGGCTCATGTAATTTGATAGTTGGCTCTGCTTCACCGAGCAAAGTCTCATTTAAAGTGATAGCATTAGACATGGTTATTGAAGGTACCTCCACTGTTGCCTCCATATCATCAGCTACAACGGCTTCTTCGTTTGATCCTTCCAATATTTCATCACTTTCTTGTATAATAACTGTTTCGGTAACGACATTGCTTTCATCAGCCGGCCCAGCTTCGTAAACATCGACGACACCATTAGATTTGTGACACACATCCGCTTCTGTACGATCCACTGGTGTTTCTATGATATCAACGTTGTTTTTTGTGTTTTCATTTGAAGAATTAAGTGTCAAAGGTTCTTCTATTGTTTCCATTTTATAATTTAAATGTACAAAATTGTAACATTTATCGTACAATGTTTATAGATAAACTTAAACCAGACTAACCTATTATGTTGACAAATAAATGAAATAAACGCAATTTTAATTTAAGGACAAAAGTTTGTAACGTTACATAATTATTATATTAAATTTATATTTGTGTACGTTTATCTTAAACCGTGAATTATCAATTATTACGGATTTTGAACTTAATGAAAACAAGCGTTCCAGTTCGTCCACTTAGGATTTTTTCAATGCGTCGTCGTCCATTTAGAATAAAAGTTGCCAGAAACGTTAAATATATATGTTAATTGTTTACAATAGCGACACGATCATAATTCCTATACAAATATTTTAGAGAATAATAACTGAAATAATAATTATGAAGTAGAAATTTGCACCAATATTAAACTTTTGAGAAAAAATAATACTTAATATATAAAATTAAAGTTTAAAAAAATGGTATTGAATATAATTTTTCTTAATTTATGAATAAAAATTTTTTGAGTACCATTGTATTCATGTAACAAAATATAACCGTGATTTCCCTCTAAAAAATTATTGGCAAAAATTTGGAATGATACGTATGGCAGATTTCTTTGACCTATTTAGCAACGAAGGACGAACCCAACATGTCAATTAAAATAGCGAATATCGATATTTCTAAATTACTATTAATCGCGATAGCTCGATATTCGTCATTTCTAATAGCGAATTCTTAACAAATTCGTTTTTAACGCAACTCTAGTGTTCTAACAGATAAATATAAATAAATTGTATGGAGCATGTAACTCTTCCTTTAATCTGTACGCTTGCTAAGATTAATAATATATTTTAAATAAAAACTCAACACCTATACTTACTCAACTTAAACATAAATATTCTTCAATATAAAGGTGGATAGAGACAACTAAGGGGTAAACAGAAACGCTAAGGGGGCTTTTAGAAATAGATTGATATGTGGCAAAATTGGCAAAACAGGCGCTTACTTAGGTAAATAAGAAAAATCTTACCTACTACCTACTATTATTAAATTATTACGAATTTATTCAATATGTCAATCGGTACTACGTTCTAAAAACTGGAAAAATTGGGAAAAATAAATTTCATAAATTAATCTATATTATTAATATTATAAAGAAGAAATATTTGATTGTTTGTATGCATTGAATAGGCTCCGAAACTACTGAACCGATTTGAAAAATTCTTCCACTGTTGGGAAGCTACATTATCCCCGGATGACATCGGCTACATTACATTTTCAAAAAAACTAGGGATCCTTACTAAAATGTAATAATGTAACCCAACGTGTACAAAAATTACCTAAAATATTCTTTACATCGCGTGCACTGCGAAAACTATTGATGATAGAATAAAATTATGTACTACGAATTTGCAGAAAACATTAATAGTTACAAAAAGTGTCGCGACAGCATATTTCTAACTATTATAGTTAAGCCACAATAAGTATTTTTTTATTTTAAAATTTTGATTGAAATGCTGCCGCTAGAAAAGGCTCTTTATTTGTATCTTGGTATTAATCCTTATAAAAATAAACTTCTAACTTCATATTTTAGACTTTCAATATCTATAGATAACTTTTTGAATTATTAAATTTGGATATTCCATTCGAAAGATATCACAAGTTTAAAAATGTTAGTATTTTGTAATTTAACTATCCAAACAGCTTAGTGGCTGACTTAGTAGTATTTTTAATTTTTCAATCACATTTATACTGGTAATTCCAGTTGAACAGTTAGCAAATAATTAAGTACAAAGGCAGTTTAATTTTTTTTATCACTTTAAAATGCCTATCTTTCTAAAAATAGTTCCCAGGCGACGGCGTCAAAAATACGTCGTAATGAGGAATCTTTAGCGACTTTAAGAGCAGAATAATATAAATATACAACAAATTCACACTAGGGAATTGAGCTCTGAGCGTTCCCAACACCTACGAGATTAATGAGAAAGACGTCGACGAAACGACTATAGTTCGTAATCGAGTTTTAGCTCACAGTAACAGATCAGCTTTCTTGCATTATGTTCAACAGTCTTCCGTCCAAATCGGAGCCACGAATAAGATCTGCTCTAAGTGTTCTGCCAAAAAATAGGTCGATGAATCAAAATCGTATGTGCTGTGCTTCTGGAAAAGTTAGTTTCCCTAATATTGAGGAGCCGCAACAGCCAATATAAGCCAATATATCTTTTGACAAATAATCATTCATCGTCTGGATATTTTAAACCAACATCCAAAAGTATAATAGCCTCTTTAAAATGACTTCGTTTGAACTTTTAAGATATAGGGACAAGTATATAAGTCATCATCATCCTCCTGCCCCTATCCCACCTAGGTGAGGTCGGCACAACATGAATCATGTTGTAAGCGGTTTTGGCTATATTTTTACAACCAGCTGCCTGACGTCAACTCTTCTTGGGAAACAAACACCCAGAACAAATTTCAACTGTCTAACTATCACGGTTCATGAGATACAGCCTGTTGACAGATGGACAGACAGACAGCGGAGTCTTAGTAATAGTTTTACCCTTTGGGTACAGAACCCTAAAAAGGCCCCAGAGATATAGTGTTGCACGGAAGACACGGCCAACTTATAAGGATCTCTGTGTTACACCGATTGAATGATCCACTACAATATCCCTTAATGTTCTTAATTATTATTAATGTTCTTTATTATATTCTGCGAGACAACTATTATTATTTTACCATTCCTCAGCAAGGTACAGCGCGTAACAAAACTGAGACATGCGTGCAATTTTATGCATTTAGGTTGATGGTTGGAGCTACCTGTTTTAATACATTTCATTATTACAAGGACTTATTAGGGTTCCGTACCCAAAGGGTAAAACGGCACCCTATTACTAAGACTCCGCTGTCTGTCTGTCTGTCCATATGTCTCATGAACCGTGATAGTTAGACTGTTGAAATTTTCACAAACGATCTATTTCTGTTGCCGCTATAACAATTAATACTAAAAAAATTGGTGGTGGCTCCCATACAACAGACATGATTTTTTGCCGTTTTTATAGATAATGTTGACGGTAGTAGTGTTTTTTGACAAAAAGTAAGTGTAATACTTCTATATTGAATAAAGATATTAAAACATGATGTTTTTTTAATGTGATAGAGTGGCAAACGAGCTGGCGGTACACCTGATGTTAACATTTGCAACACCTGTAGGGTTGCAAATGCGTTGCGATTATTTATGTCCGAAGCTATGTGAGAGCAGACTTATTTGTCACATTTACGTGTAACCCCGAATGTCCCTTTAATCAAACTATCATCTGGTCAGCGATTTTTCACGTAAATTCAAGGGTATTTCATTAAAAGTGAAGAGATTCATAAAATGATTTAATAAAGATGAAATATTCGGAAGGTTTTATCTGTGTGTATGATAATTTTTAATTTAAAAATTTTTGTTAAATACCCAACGGAGACCGGGGCGGGCCGCTAATTATAAAATATTTGTTTTATTTTATTGATTAGGAAAACAAACAGCACTTACATAAAATAAATAGCACAATTACACACAGATATGTGGGCCAATAAAGTTTTCACCACTAGCTATTATACACTTTGCATTAGAAGTATACAATTATAATATCTTATTTTAACGGTATTTAGATTTATAAAAGACAAATGTTAAAGATGAGAAAAAAAAAGATACTAATACAAAAACTAAAACCTAAATGTTATGAAAAATAACATTTAAAGATTATATGTTTATCATTTTTCGAGATATATGGATATCTATCTCGAAAAATGTCAATACATTAGAAGTTTTTATTATACTTATGACAAACACTTACAGTAAAACGGTTTTTCGTGTAGTTCCTGTTACACAACGGTGTATAAAACAGATCATTCGAACGAGAGTTGACTTTGGGACACTTAAATGAAATATTTGAAAGTAGATAGGGAGATTTAATAGTTTTTAATTAATTTTAAAAGAAAAATTTGATCTCTTAGCTCTCTTCGACGTTCAAGGGAAATTAATTTGTAAGTAAAAGCAGGACCAAATTTGTATTTCATCCTCCTGACAAACGTAGACTGTATCTTTTCTATTAGGTTTATGTGTGAGGAATAATGTGGATTCCACATTATTCCTCAGACATAAATCTGGATTCCACATATAGAAATATATAAAATGGTTCTAGTTTTAAATGTATATTTTTACATTTAATCTATAGTTAAACTAACTGATGCTAAGTACATACAAACCGGAAGAGATATTTAAAATACGATGCTGACTTAATACAACAGGCAGTTATAGAATATTACAGATTCTCTTGATACTGTTTGTATTCTCAAATTGATTTTTTTTGATTTTCATTGACTAAGAAAGAACGCGACAAATCAAGGAGGTTAAATAGAAAAACAGAAAAGGACGCTCATCGATCTCTATCATTTCAGCTTCAGTTTCTTATTTTATCCCTTAGCGAAATACCGAGCGTGGATCTTTCCATAGGTCGCTGAGTGAAGGGTGGGCCAGCCTCACCGTCATTCATGTTCCAAATCTCGGTTATTAACAGATTTCATTAAATTAGTTCAATTTTATTATTTGCGTAAGCATGCAATATATCACATTTAGCTCTAACCCCTGAAAATTCTTAGGTGACTGAGTTAAAGTTATTTATATTTGTAGTAGTCACTGTCTTGAATTATTGCCCAAAATGTTGAAATGAAATTAAATATTAGTTAGTCTGTGCTCTGCTGCTGTAGCCGTTGTGGGTGGATATAATGTCGCTTGAAAGCAGCAGCTCATGTTGAAATGTTGATAGAAGTGCAGAATACAAAATATTCTACGTAATAATTTTGATATTTCCAAATATATTATATAATAAATAGATAGATGACTTGAAATAAAAAAACCGCCTTAGCGTTTCTATTTAGACCTTCCTCGTTTCCGTTAACCTTATATGCCATTTCTATTTACCCTTCAGGTATCTCTATCCGCCTGTAAATTGAAGAATATTGAAGTGTGTTGAGTAAGAGCGTAAACTAGTGGTTTCCTGGGTGATTGTAGTTCCTACTTCAGAGATTAACCACTCACTAGGTACCTAATTTGCTACGATAGGCAAATAGATTACAGCTAGTCTATGAAGCCCAAGATTTAACCCATTCATGGCATCCCACATCTCCAACGCATCTCACTTTATAAAGCCTGGTTTCTGAAATACTGATAACCGTAGAAGTTAACTAATCAGATGTCAAAAGGATGATTAAACTCTCTGAATTTATCAGTGTTAATGCATTTAATAGGCAAGAGAAGCAATTCATTAGTTTTGCGTTATTGTAAAATAACTACATGTTGTACTGCATGGCGAAAGAGTAAGACACTACGCTTGTGACTTAGAGAGGTGTTGCTGTAGATCACGGAAGGAACTAAAAATGGCGTTCTGAAAACATCGTTCATGCGCTCATGAAGAACGACGTAACATCGATGTTTTGCGTTCCAACATTGATGTTTATGAACGATATATCGATGTTTGAAAAACATCAATGTATCTCTACAGGTATCAAATGAGTCATGACATCACTCACCCAGCTTTGCCAACTTAGACGATTTCCCCCTAGAATTAAGGGGTAAACATACGCGTTGGGATTTTTTTAGGGGCGTTACATTTTCAGGGTTATTTTTAGGAATTTTTTGACTTCTTATATGTTTTCCTACGTTATACTTCTTATTTTTTTATTAAAAAAATAAATGTATAGAAATAAATTGTAACATATTTAAATGTTAGCCGGGTTTTCATTACTAAGAATGCCGAGTTGAACTATGGAAAGTAGAGATAAAAGTTTAAAGTGTCCGTCAAAACGCCTTCAATAGCGATAGCTTGAATAAATGTTTAAGAAAGCGTTAAAAGTAATTATAAATTTTACATCATTCATTATGAATCTCATTCTTGGAATTACGGTAGAAATATTGGTCATCTAAAGAAATCATAAGAGAGATTTTCTTATAAAGTAAATTTTCCTACAATTTTTGTTTAAACACTTATTATAAGACTAACATTTTCAATATACTTCACTGTATTACATTCATGTGGAAATGAAGGCACAAATCTTTGCGCAACTTATTATTTATATTTTTTTTAATAGTATTATTTTATTAGGGGGGTATTAATTGTTTTTGTATTTAAACTTTAGGGACAAACATTTTCCAGAGTTGGTAATACAGCACGCACATATCAATTTTTATTGTCATTTTCAGTAGTATTACTTTACTCTATGGTCATGATGGATGCCAACTTGGGAATTTTCTTCCTAAATTTAGGAAGAAAAAATGTACATTGGAAGTTTTTTTGGAGGTAAATTCTTTTAGAAATAGTTTTAGGAGTTAAATTTATTAACATTTGTGAAAGAAAAACTACACAAAACTACTTATCTTAAACAAAAAATATAATTTAATTATGCTATGCTGTGCTTTGGTGGTGTCTTGTATGTATATTTTGAATTATTCCGCCCTAAATTATATTATCAAGATATATTCAATATTATAGTATTGAGTATACCTTGATAATATAAAAAATCGTGTAAAGTTTTTGTTTCAATCTATTCAATTTTAGCGGGTTTTCGAATTAATTTAGGAGTATTATTTTTGGACAGTTGGTAACATCAGTGTTATTTGTCAAGATTGATTTTGGTTTGGCAACAAACACTAATAATTTTATTAAAAATTCAAAACTAATATAACTTTAATGTTTTTAATCATGAATTTAAAACAAATATTTTGAAATGTCTCTGCTTTAACATTTCGTATCTTCATTGTTTTCTACACTTAGCATGCATAGCTAGTTATTAATAATTTGTCCTTTGTCCCGTATATCCAATAATTTTCCTTTAAAATGCGAGTTTTTTTAGCAGAGGATAACCTTTGTGCGCAAAATTTATTAAAACTCGTGTCACACGGGAATGCAATATTGGCTGAGATTCTTAGATTAAAATCTCATATACCAACAATTTACTTGTGAGTTGGTATATAAATGTTAATGTGAAAAGCAAATATAAACATGAAATCAATATTAGTTTCTCGATTTTCAGATTAGATAATAAAGAGTTACAGCAAAAGTACCAAGATGTGATTATGGATTTTAGTTACTTTAAAATCTCTGATGATCAAGAGAAAAAAATAAATGCTAATGGGGTAAGTTTAAAAAAACATGGGTTAATCATAATTACAATAGCTCCATATTTTAGAATTTATATTTCCAGAAACTTCAAGACATGGATGATGATCTGAAGGAAAAATATTTGGAATTAATAACTAGGTTTTATTTGTTATTTGAGAACATTTATCAATATATAGTTGATTTAAATACCTTTGTGGACCAGTTAAATGATGGAGCATTTATTCAACAAACAATTGATAGTGTTATGAAAGATGTAGAAGGAAAACAGCTATTGGTTTGTGTATAAATTTATTCTATTGCATTTTAATCTCTTAGTGATAGTTATGTCTGATGTAGTTATATTCCTTGTATTTTTTTTTAGTGTGAATCTGCCTACCTATACGGATCAATGCTTTTACTATGTGATTTATACATTCCCGGACAAGTCAGAGAAAGACTATTGGTTGCCTTTTATCGGTACAGCACTAGCCAATCCCAATCAAATGTAGACGATGTTTGTAAACTGTTACGTGATACTGGCTATGACCAACAACATGCAAGGAAACCACTAGAATATCCTGTTGAATTGTTCAGGTACTTTGTTGTATTTAATTATGTAAATGTTATCCATACTGGGTAAAACTAAATCACAAGCAAATAACAAGCTAATAACAAGCAGTGCAATCTACTTTTGTTTGCATTATTCCCATAGTTGTTTCGTCCAGTTATAAAATTTTTATTTGGCTAAATGAAGCAAAACCTCAACATCCATCCATAAACACTTAAAACCATATGAGTCATTAAGTGCACAAATCAATTAAGGTGCTGTATGCAGTAAAAAAGTGTTTTTCATAGGCCTTTTTAACTAAATTTAAATATTTTAAAGCAGCAATAGTATATATGTAAATCTTGATCTTAATGTAATCCTAATGGGCCTTATTACCTCCAAAATTATTGTTGGCCAAAACATGTTCTTGATAAATTACCTAGGTAGAAAAAAATCACGAAATAGCTTATAGAAGTGAAATTAAAATGCAAAAATGCACATTATAAATTAACAAATCTTAATAAAATTAATATCAGTAATATAAAATATTTTTATAACTGAGACTGTCTGGGTGTGTGTTAATTTTTTGGTAAGATATTTGTAACCATTAACAATAATTTATTTATAGATGTTCTAAAAGTATGTATTGGAATAATAATACTAATAAAACTTTTTTCTTCCTCTGAAAAAAAACCCTCACGCGGGACATTATTTTCACGTGGCGATAAATCTTCTTTAAACTGCCATTCAAAAGCAGTTGTATGAGTACATGTCTGAACTATGGATACAAAGTAACAAACATTCTATATATACATTTTACTTTCCACTCGTTTTTGTCTCTCCCAGCCATTGTAAGCTAATCACAACGCGACTGCTTCGTTCAACTCCATATTTTAAAGCCCCAAAGTGCTCGCGAGTTGGTACGCTCCTTATGGATAAAATGTGTGCTTGTAATAGGCACCAATGAATCGGGCGCGGCCGCTCGCATCGATTATCCGCGCGGTGATCGCGTATTTACGTTCTATTAGGACTCGACTGGTTGGGCCACGCAACAGTCTTCGCAGTTGCACGAATGCGCTGGTCCATTCGGTGAAGTACCACGACCTTACAGAAGACTGGCGTAAAATGGAAGTGTTATACTAGTGATTGAGATAGCCGGGGCCCATTTTATTATAAGGTGGCAAGGCATCTGAATCCCACGGGTGTTGCAAATATCAGGCGACGGCTATGACTTACCATTAGATGACGCGCAGGCTCGCTTGGCCCCTTGTCACATAAAAAAACGATGCCTCATAGATAATACTATCTCCGGCCGGGCCACGCCGTCTATCACCTAAGGAAACAACGAACAAACTGCGTGTTCTAAAGTTTCAGCTTGGTTTCTTTTAGCCGTGTGAAAATTCGGTTATTCATATCCAGTAATCAACAATATTTAAAATAAGAATCCAATCAGTTGAAAAAATGTGGTGCGATCTAATTCCAAGAAATAGCGTTTTGTTTAGCGAAAGTAGTTTTGTCGACTGGCGAGATGATGTCATCAGTTTTTTGGAATATGAAAGGCGAAAAAATCAGTTTAGTCCATAATTTCGTGTAATTTTCATGTAAGCATCAAAGAGAAACTCCCAAGATTGCACAGAAAGAAAGGTTTGTCACCTAAACAATGCTTATCGGATTCACCTGTTCCGTCCGTTGATTCCATCGCTTAAATTCGTGTTTGTGGTTTCGAATTCTCTAGATTCTTCTCATGATTTGTTACCTTCGGACTTTTAGTTATCTGTTTCTAAGTCCTAAACTTTGTGGTGAAAAATATTCAGAGAATAAAAAAATTGATGCTGCGGCGAATTACTTTTTAAAAAATTAAAAATTCATACTTTATTTTATTTCCTTGCCTAGCCCATTAACTTTTCAACCCAACCTCGGAAATGACATAATATCTAACCTGAATTAAAATTAACAGGTTAATTTGACATGCAACTTTAATTTTTCAAAAATTTCTAAGTATTCTTTGGGAAATAATACTTACAAATTTTCGATTGCATTTTAGCAATAGGCATTTTATTGACCTACAAAAACTGCTCCTTGTAAGTTGTATAAGTTAATCTCTCATAGGATAATTTATAAAAAATCTAACTTACTTTAATTTTACATTAAATTATCATGTTGCCGTTTATATTATTAGTTACCACCTCACCGTTAACCACTACTCATCCCCAAACGTTTAGGCCGCTAAAGCGGTGCACGTAATTTTAAGTGTTATAGCGTGCTAATTATTGTAGCTATACCAAAATAAAAAATATGTGCGCATAGCAAAAAATATACGGAATCAACAAGAAAAATTTGAGTCCAAAAATAAACCCAAAATATTGTAAAAGTAGTTTAAAAAACTCAGCAGTATACGTAAATTACAGTAAACTTTTTTTTTAACAATCTGTTGTATCAGGATGATATTGTTTATTATAAATTTGATCTATGAAATATTAAAATTCTTTCTTTAATCTTTTTTATATCAATATCTCCTTATTTCGATTTATGTGTATCCCACAATAAAACAAAACATTCCACCTAGTTATAGTCGAGATAACAGACTGTACCTGTTACGAACTGTTCTACACAAATTGTTCCTTAACACGATGACACAAGCTTTTCTATATTCATGCTCACGACTGTAACCTTAGAAAGAGATAAAAACTCTACACCTTGTCACATTTACTGAATTCACTATCACTGTTACAAGCTCTTTATTTCGCGTACTTTTTCAAGATAAAAGACGTTAAGATTTTCGTCAGGGTGGCAATCAGCCGTTTAGCTTAGTGGCTAAAGCGTCAGGCTGCAAATGCCGAAGATGTGGGTTCGATTCCCCCGGGGCGACAATCTTTTCGTACTTTTCTACAAATTTGAATTGTACCACATTATGTTACGTACATTTTTTGTTTAAAAAATACGAGATCCTTATTTATATATCAATGTCAATGTACCGCGTATCAACCTATATTGTATCAACCTATATATTAGTATCTATATACAAATACAAATTACTTTATTTCCAAAAAAAACTTACTTTTTTATGTGAAAAGTTGCCAAACGAACAGACTTCAGGTTCACCTGATGGTAAGTGAATACCGCCGCCCATGGACAGCTGCTACACCCGAGGGTTGTACTACACAGATGCGTTGACAACCTTTTGAAAATTGGGCTCCGGCTACCTCACACACCAGACGAGACGCGAAAGTATTTGTCATACTTCCACTTTACGCTGGTCTTCTGTGAGGTCGTGGTACTTACCCGGACAGAACTGCCCATTCGTGCAACAGCTGAGGCCCTGCGTGGCCCTACCACCGTAAATAATATTTAACAGACTATAGTATAGCTCACTCCTAGACAATGACGGGACGGTCGAGCCACGTATCGCTGTAAGACGCGATATTTAACAGGTTATACTATACAAAATTCATGAATCTTTAGCTATTATTTAAAGATAAAATATGTTTTAAAGTGACCGCGTCGAATTGGCTTCCACAGTTGCCAAAACAGTCCTGGACATAAAAAATGGCAACTCTGGCAGCCAAGACATTTGAGTCGAGAAACATTTTAGTAAATAATTTAAATAATAATTTTCTCATATTTTCTTCATATTTCTTTTAATAAAACAGGATTAAATTGTTGACGAACATTTTACAAAAAAGACAACCAACCAATTATATAAAACTATAATCATTATTTGCGTTTTTGTAAAAAAAATGTTAAATAAAAAAAAATATTGCAGTCGTGTCCCGATTCAACCTGAGTTTGTAGACAAAGTTGTGGGTAAACTTAGATCAGAAGATATATATAACCAATTGGCTGTATATACAATCCCAGAACATCAGGCTTCAGCATTGGCCACCCAAGCAAGCATGTTGGTTGTTTGTTTGTTTTTTACTCCAAATTATTTACACAATGATACTTCCAAAATGCGAGAAATTGCAGACAAATTTTTTCCGTGTAATTGGATTATTCCTGTTTATATGGGTGTTACAATGAATCTTATTGACTTCTGGGAAAACTTCAAGGCTGCCAAGAATTCGTTATATAACACTTGTAACACTAAACAGGTAAAAGAAATTTTCGGAAAAAGAGGAAATTCTATACCCGTTTTGATTACTAAAACTCGCCAATTATTAAAAGAAGGAACATTAACCGATGATTTTGTCCTTGACAACATAAGTAAAATTTTGAATGTGATTATTAACTCAAATCATGTTTTGCGATGGCTATTATTACACAATAGTGATGTTATATTTTTCGATAATAACAAGAAAAGTAAACAACTTAAAGATTTAGTCTTGAAAGAATCAAACTATGATCCACTCAACGTACTAGAATTATTAATAAGTACCGCTGAGTTAGAACTGAAGATAAGAGAGTTTTTGCAAAAATTACTCGAAAACAAAAATTCAGTTTGGGATTCTAATAAAAGTCTTGCTCTAGAGGCAATAAACAGTTTATCAGAATTATTCTCAGGCTCCAAACCATTTGCCAAAATATCAGAAAATGAGCAATTGAAACTATGGTTTGACAATATTGCTAAACAAGTGTCTTCACTAGGTGAGCCAATCACAAGCAAATCTGTAAAAAAAGTAACACAACTTATACAAGCATTAGATGAAGTGGAAGAATTCCATGGGATTAAAAGTACTTCAACAATTCTACAGTTTCTTTCCGAAGGAAAGGATGCGCTAAGAAATCTCTTAAGGATAGCTTCTTTAAAAGAAGATTCTCTGGTTACTTTAGAAACAGTAGCTGATTTCAGTTACGCATGGTGTACGATAGACTTATACACGAAATACATGCAAAACAGTATTAAGGAAAATCCAGCAGTCACGAGTAGACTAAGAGCGCTCTTTCTTAAAATAGCAAGTGCAATGGAAATACCATTACTTAGGATAAACCAAGCTCAAAGTGAAGATTTAGTGTCAGTTTCTCAGTACTATAGTAATGAATTAATTAGATACATTCAAAAAGTATTGCAGATCATTCCAGAAATGGTTTTCCATATTGTTGAGAAGATTATCGATTTACAAACCTGGTCAATAAAAGAAGTCCCTACTAGAATAGAAAAGGAGAAACTAAGGGAATATGCTCAGCTTGAACACAGAATGGAAGTGGCGAAGCTCACCCACTCTGCCTCTACTTTTACTACCGGTAATGTATGTTTTAAATTTGATCGCAGAGACAAAATATTAATTTGTAAATGACTTATGAAAGGCTTTTCGTTTTATAACGTTAAACGTTAATAAAGTTTAACGTTTTTTTTTTATTCACCCTACATATTTTTTTATAGGGATTTTAGATATGCGATCTACGTTAGTAGGTGTCATACGAGTTGACCCAGCAGAACTGCTTGAGGAAGGATTGTTGAGAGAATTAGACACGCATATAAGTAAAAAGTTTAATGAATTCCTAGAACCCCAAGTAAAGAAGCCAGGTCATTTAATTTCTCGCCTGCAGAAATTAGCAGAAAGCATGGACGGTTACAAGAGATCATTAGAATATATACAAGATTACATAAATATTCATGGTCTACGAATTTGGCAAAAACAGGTATTTTATGTTTTTGACAATTTATAAGACTAGTTTAACCTATTTAAACATTGAAAATTTTTCAGGTTTCTGCTATTATTACTGAGAATGTTAATAAAGAAATCAGTTTACGTAAGGGGGTTTCTTTATACGGGCCTTCGGCAGGTTTCATGGGCTTTTTAGCCCGACAAATAGCGCAGCTTACAGATTCCAGGTATTTACACTATTTCACAGACTTATCACGACGAATTTAACTACAATTACAGCATTTTATCAATTACTCCTATGATTTTATGAGAATGTGCATTAAATATCCGATACCGCCCTAGTAATATAAATATTTTTTATATAATTAATTGTAATGTAATTTAATAATCAGGATGTAAAAAGTTAAATACACGAAACAGTTGAATATATCGATTAAATCATAGTCAATCATTTTCTGAAGAAATTCTTAGATTATTTTTATACCATGTTTATATGTGTGCATGTAATGATAATTGTATTTTCTCCCAGAGTATCGACTTATATAAATATTTGCACGGCGTGGTTCGACGTTAAAACACAAAAGGAAGTCGTGAACACTAAGACGTTCGCAAAATTAAATGAAGCAATAGGCGTGGTAGGACTCCATGGGTTGGACACACTATATGCTTTCATGATAAAAAATCAACTGCAAAACTTTCAAGCAATACTTAGGAATCCTCAAGAGAAAGTCGTAATTGCAAACGTCAACTTGGACACAAAAGATATTGAACAAGTCACTTCCAAGTGTACGAAAACAATTCAACAGATAACCGATGTGCTTTTACTTGTCGGAGGGCTGCAACTTTTGAGGAAACATCTGTCATACCAATTAAATACATCTTGTAAATTTGACTCGGCAAATTTGGAAGCATCGTTGAGAACGATGAATGAGTAAGCAATATTATATCCCATTTTTAATTTTAGTGCTAGTCTCTGCAGTTCAGATAAAACTAATATGTGTGTATAAAATAGTAGGAAAATTTTATTGGTAACTGCATTTTAAAAGTTTTATTCGCTTAAAATTAGGACCATACGTTTCGACTTACCAGCTACAAAAATTGTTAAACATTATAAATTGGCACTAATATGTTCGCCAAGTATGTAAGATTTAAATAAAAATATCCAAAATTATGTAATATATTATATATACAAAATTATATAATTATATATCAAAATATCCGAAATTGTATATTTCTTTATTTATTTATTTTTTTTGTGGAGAAAAGGGGCAGACGAGCAGGAGGCTCACCTGATGGTAAGTGATTACCGCCGCCCATGAACACCTGCAACACCCGAGGGCTCACAAATGCTTGCCGGCATTTTAAGAAAGAGTATGTTCTCTTGTTGAAGGTTGTCTGGTCGTAACGGTTCGGAAAGATCGTCGGCGGCAGGTGGTTCCACAGAGGGGTTGTGTGAGGCAGGAAATGCCATAAAAATGTGTTGTTGAATAACGCGGTAGAATATCATATTGTGATATTTATCTTTTTTTTTTTTTGACCGACTTCTGGCACCTTTTAGTTATGTCAGTTGTAGAGAATTGAAATTCAATAAAAAATAAACAATGTACATGACGCGGAGTCTATGGAACATTTTTTGTTAATGTGTAAAATACTGGACTAAAAGTGAGGCTCTTGAAACCGACATTTTCCGTTAGAGTGTAAGGACTAATAAAGCCAGCGAGTAATATGCAAATTAAAAGCAGTAAAAACATATTTTAGTCCAAGATTTAAGAAATTACGTGACGCAAATGTATTAATGTAATGGATTTTGTTATTTTCAGAGCATTAATAAATGTATTAAAAGCAAAAAGGTCCGATCTGAAGTCTATGCCGTTAGCTCTTATCCACGATCTAGAAGAGTACCTAGTCCGGTGTGGAATAAATGAACCATTTCAAAAGGTCTACGTAAAACGGCCACATGAATTTTCAAATTCGGACATGGGTCGCTTTTTGGCAGTTGTCCTGATATCACAGTTATCAAAACTTCAAATATGCTACACCACAGGTGAATACATTTCATTCAGCAATATTTATGTGGTTTCTTTAATTATTTAATTTGAGAGTATATATTATGACTGTGTAACCCAAAAATCATTCCAGGTGACCTTATTACTAAAAAACCGGGTGAGAATATTGATGGTTTTCCTCTATTGGTTGGGACATACACATTACTACATCAAAGCAGTGCGGGAAGTAAAGAAGTATTTATCGATACTTTATGTCAATACGCTAAAGTGGCAGCACTGGCGAAGTAAGTATTTAAATGAAGAAAATTGTTTTTCTTCCCGTTTTACTTCGGATCGGACCGTTGGGTTGAAAACTATGTCAATCATAACGCAAAAATATTCTTCGAATGAATACTATCATATGGTAGATGCTACAAACGAGGGCCAGGGGTTCCTAAAGTTTTTATTTAACATATTCGGCATGTCGTTACAACCGCGACAATAAATGAACATACATATAGAAGATGACTTTTTAAAAATTGTATTAATCATTTACATTCTTTAGAATGTAAATGCTTAATACAATTTTGATGTGTAAATGTTGATGTTTAAAAACCATCGAAATTGAAATAACTTTATTCAATATAGAAGTATTACACTTACTTATTGTCAAAAACCAATGCTACCGTCAACATTATCTATAAAAACGGCAAAAAATCATGTCTGTTGTATGGGAGTCCCACCTATTTTTTAGTATTTATTGTTATAGCGTATTTTATATATATATATTCTAGAATTATACAAAAGGAATTTATTTTTAAAATAAAAATTATAAAGTAAAAAAAAATCTCTGCACACAATATTTTCTTGGCGGTAGAAAAGTAATTATAACTAAGATCACGGAAATAACAAATCACGTTTACGACCGATCACCTATTAGCGCAGAGCGTAGCTCCGCACGAGTTTTTATAGGCAACCTTAAATAATTTAGCTTCCATACCATTAAACATCTATACTCCTTTACTATTAACTTTTTAATTTAACTCCCATACTCATCCATACCTAATCATCCATACTCATATACTGGTAACCTTCTAAATCAACTCCCATACTATTAATCGTCTATAATATATATATATATATATATATATAAGACTTTTTAATTCGTTGCCAAAACGTCGCATAACAAGTCGCTCCTTCTAACAGTATGTTTTATTTCTTTTAAATTCATTCAACACATTGCAACACATCGTGACCTTTACAAATGAACTTTACGTTTCAGTTTTATACGTAAGGTTGTTCTAAAAATGTTTGTTTTGAAAACTTAATAACTCGGTAAATTTTAAAAAGTTATTCTCTATATGTGTGTTCATTTATAGTCGCGGTTGTAACGACACGCTGTATACATACATATGAACGACCTACATATAAATATTTATGTTTTAAAAAGCTGTAATTAAATAATTTCCTGATATACTTAATGACAATTATTTTGTTTATAAATATTGACAAGTCAATTCTTTTCAGGTTGAAATCCTCCGAAGTATTACAGGACAGCGCATTTATAGTCAGAATGTTACAGCTGTTTTGCGAAACATTTAATTACAAATTTGAGAAACTGGAAGAAAAATTGCCGCTAGCGCTAATAAGTTCTATACCACAAAAATAAAATCTTAACTATTTATGTACAGTAGTTTTGCAATCTATCGCTTATCCCTGATCTGTTTATCTTTGATAGAGTTGAGACGGTGCGATTTTTATGGTGTTTTTGTATAAATGTAACATATGTATCTTATTCAAAAACATGCTTTAAAATCACGAATTCTCGGACAGATTTATCTAAATAATGGTAATGTATGGAGACTTACAAACTATGTGAGAATAACCATTATTTTACTAACGAAAAACAAAACTGACTTCAAATATCTCGTTTTATATTCATTTTATAATTGATTTTTAGAAGTTCCCTCAATATCTCCGAAACCCAAGTTGCCATACTAATGAAATTAATTACAGCTCTTACAGAGGGAGCTCTATACAGCATAACCTAGACACAAAAGTCTTCGCCAGAGATCGTCTATCGGACAAACCCAATTGACTAAGTTAAAAACTGATAGCGAGGCTATCGTCTCCAGTAAACTAGAGGTTTAGAGTGAGGTTGTGAGGTTCTATGGTCTTCTGTTTCTGTGTAAGTAATGACCCAACCGAAAATATCCCGAACGTCAAACTGAAGTAGATTAGAATGGCTCTTGAGCATCTCAAATGACATAGATACGATGGACCCACCGCCGGGGGTCCCGCCGGATAACACTACACCCACAGTTAGTGTAACAACAATCACACCAGTTCGCCTTCGCCTCCGAGCACGGCGAGACCCACACAACGCGTACACAAGGTACACCCGCGTTCCGGGGCGGTTCTCACCGCTCCCAGCCACCGATTAGCTAAATGCACAGTCGACGGCCGTCGGGGTCTCGGTCCGAACCGGCGACCTCGACGGCCCTTAGATGACACACCATAGTAGTTAAACGCACGCATGAGCACATGCGCGACCCTACCCATAGCGGAGGGTCCAAACCCGTGGGTTCTGGCTAGCCCACCGGTTCTGCGTCCGATGAAGCTTTAATAGTCTCGGGACTGAAAGCAAAAACATCAGTTAATACAAGATACAAGATGCATCTCAAATACCACGTTTTCGAGTGTCATCTTGAATCGTCTCGCATCCAGACTTGACGGCTTCCAGCCTGCCGAACAAGCCGGATTCCGAAATGGCTTCAGTACCATAGACCACCTACACACTGCGGCAGGTTATACAGAAGACCGAATAGCATAATTTACCTTTTTACCTGGCGTATGTAGACTATGAGAAAGCGTTCGCTTCTGTTCCAATTTTCCAAATCAAATCCAAATTTCGCTGGTACTCCAGGGCCTTCATCGTTACCAAATTAATTATCGGTATGTCAAGGTGCTGCTGTGTTGGTATAACTAGGCTACGATGTCCGTACGAGTACAGTCTAGTAGTACAAAATCTATCCAACTGCGGACTTTTGTTGTTGTTGTTACGTGACTCATCATACAAAACGCACAAGTGACGTGGGTTCGATTCCCACAGCGGCAACAATCTTTTCGTACTTTTTCTACAAATTTTAAAGTTCAAATACTTTTATTTCACATAAATATTTTGCGAGCTAAAATATTTTTTCAACGTGAGACTGCCGCTTATGTTTATCACCAACACCCGTTAGGTTGCAGATGCACTGCTACCTTTTAAAAAAGTGGGCGCGTCTACACTAACGTACACATGTCGTCTGTGAGGCTATGTTACTTCCCAGGACGAGCTCCGCCACCCATGTAACAAAAATAGACGCTGCATGGCCGAACCACACTAGTGTTTTAATATTATTGAAGTGGCCAGCAAAGGAAGAGGCGAACTACTTATCACCATTAAAGGTTTAAAATATTATTTACATCAAAACTACAGCCTACAGACAAACTTTTACTTTATAAATTGAACAATTCTCATACAATAGTGTGACCGATGAAAATTATTTTTTTTTAAAAGAATATGCACATAAAACGATAGGTACCATCTGTTTAAATCTAAAATATTGAACATAAATTTATTTTTAGACTACATATTCCTTTAAATAAAAATTTGTTCAATATATTAATATAATAGGGATGATCTTTCTAGGAAAAGAATTAAATTTCCATACAAAATGCCTTTGAAGGGTTTGTTGCCTCCCATCCAGCTAATTTTTACAAGGGCATAAACATACTATGAAAAAAAAATACTTGTAACTTATTTCATTCAAAACAGAAATTTCATGGATTTTTCATATCAATACTATCTTACTCTTTAATAAACACATTTTGAAAATAAGAGAACAAATTTATTTATAATTCTGTCTAGCAAGTTCTGGGTTAAATTGAGAGTTATACTTTGCTTTTACTTTAGCTGACTTTGGTTGCTCTTCACTTGGTATATCTGATCCACCCAGTTTCTTTAAAAATACTTCAGTTCTGTATCTTTCTTGCTGCTCTCTTTTAAGTCGTGCTTCTCTTAATTTTTCTAGTTTTGTTAGCTTGTCATCTTTTTTGTCACTTGGCACTTTTTTTTGCTCTTTATATGACTTCTTGCCATGCAAATCACTACTATTTCTCGCATCTTCTCTTGTATCAGACTTTTTCTTTTGTGAACAATATTTCTTAAATGCATTCATTGGATCTAATTTCTGCTTTGTTTTCCAACATACTTCTCCATCTTTTATATCTAACTCTTTGCTCTTTGGTTTTCCATCAGAATCTTTCAGGACAAGTTTGTCATATGTGTCTTTTATTTCACTGGACCTAGAGTATCTTGATGCATCTGGCAGTACTTCATACCAATTCTTCTTCTTTTGTGCTTCATTAGTATCTTGGCCAAGATATGTAAGGTATCCAATCTTTTTTTCATATTCTTCTTTTTTCTCTTTTACTTCCAAATCATGCTCTTTGTTAGTTGTGGTTACTGAATGTTCTAAGTCTGCAAACAAGTTAATGTGATCTAGTTTTGTAGAGGATATCTCTTTTTCAATGATTTTAACATCCAACTCCTTCAGTTTTTGTTTGCTCTTCTGTTTTAGTAGTTGGAGGCGTGCTTCCTTATCAGCAATCTCAATTCTTAATTTCTCTTGCCTTTCTTTTTCAGCTGCTTCAGCTTCATCTTTCCTCACTCTTGCAATATTTTCTTTTGTTCTTACATGCCATCTGCAAACATTTTACAATTTAATAAAATGTTTTTGTATTGAAGATACTATAAAATTAGCTCATGATGTAGTTTTTTTAGAAAAAAATGTTACTAAGAGTGTACATGGGATAAATAAAAATACCTTATATAATAATAACAATATATGTGTGAAAATAAGGAAGTTTATAAAGAATGTTCAAGCAAGTCGAGTGTAAATACCACAAATCCACAGAATTTGCAAAATGTTTTTAATAAATATAGTTTAATTATTCCAAAAAATCTCTGCCTGTCATTCGGATGACAACACAAGTTTGTGCTAAAAAATATATGTGCTTGGAAACATACATTTAGTCCTTATAAATTTTAAATTTAGATATACAATAAATATAAATAAAATCACAATTGAATAAAAATCACACTTTACCTTTTCTTCGGAAGAATATTCATTTTTATACTTGATAAATAATTTCCATGTAAATTTATATGTTTCTTTTTCCTAGTTTGTCTGGAATAATGACATAGATAATTTATTTAAAATTTGCTGGTATTAGTAGTTAGGTAGTAATTTGGTGGTAAAAAAATTTACAAGCTTCTTCTTACTCTTTCAGTTCTCAATGAAAACACCAAAATTACATTAAATTAAAACCTACTTCTTCTTTCAATCTTTTTACGGTTTTAAATATATACGCCACTAAAGACTGTTAATATATAGACTGTTTAGTAACTGCTTGCTTTGTGATAATTCAGGGTACAAGGATTTATCTAATAAATATTAACTTAATTACAACAATCTTAGCATGTCAAATCGTCAATACCAATTCACTTTCAGCTGTCAATACCAATTAAACACAAAATGTGTACCTAGTGGTTATATTTATGATTTTATATCGTCTAACAATTACCAAGTCCAAGTTGGTACCTATAAAAACTAGAGATGCCGAAAAAATATCGATATTTATTTAAAAATATATCGATATTTTTGGCCGATATATTTTGTTCCGGTATGTCCATATAAAAAATTGAATATTGAAATCGCAAAGCCGTAAAAGATAAAAATAAACGACAAAAACTGTGGCATGTTACGTATGCAGGATGTCGCGGATGTAGGATTGTATTTCGTACTATAATTACGGTATTTATACTACAATTTGATGCTTCGTACTTTATACTATCCATATCTAAGGTACAATATGGTATAGAGGTGTTACAAATCATTAATATTGAACTACATATTATGTTAATTTATAAATAGCATGCAAAATATTAATGGCATCAAATACAGTTACTTTAATTTAATAAGTAAATAAAGTTAACAAAAAATTAATTATAATTAAAATTAAATTCTCAAAAATGAAATGTCACATAATATAATATCGACTTTTCATATAAAAATTATTTGATGTCATAAAAATTATTATCATTTAACCAGATAAGTAACTTTCTACATATTTTAACATAAGTAACTTGTATAAATTGTGGATCAGCATTTTCATGTCAATCAAACAACTGTTACTAAATTCTGCTGATCTAGGCCAGTCTTTTAGGACAAGTTATGCGGGTTTCTTTTTGACCCATTATTAACTTCGTTTTAAACAACTTTTTTTTATACAAAGTTACATGTATTATAATTAGTTATTGTTTGATTCCATTCAGGAGTAAAGAAACTGATTTATCTTACTAAATAAGCTGTTTGTTTTTTTTCCAATGAAGGTCTTTTAAATAACATACTGAAGAATTTAGATTAATTAAAGAAATTTTATTAAAATTAATAAATACTTAACGTTTTAGAAAAATTCTCATTCATTTAAATAATGTGAGCTTGGTATAAAAATTACTATTACTTATTATTGACTCAGAACGGACTAAATAAATTATTTTTTTAAATATATCGATCTTTTTTTTCGATATATCGAGGCCGATATTGATATTTTTATAAATATCGATATATCCAAAATTTTTTCGACTTTCGCCATCCTTAATACTAAGTTATTAAAGGTCAATACTCAATGCTAGGGATGACGAAAAAATATCGCGATATTTTTTATAAAATAAATCGATATTTTAGCCGATATATGTTCATCCGATATATCGATATAAAATATTCAATATTGAAATCGTATCAAAAACAGTGTTTATTCAAATTCGAATCAGAGACAGAGTCCCAATAATTATTACTTGGCATATTTTTCTTTTGGACTACGGGGCCTAAAATGCCCCTAAAACCCATCAAATAACATTGTAAAAAAAGATAACGCAAAGATTTTTGCCTTAATTTCCACATGAATGGAATAATACAGTGAAGGTTATTGCGAAAATATTGGCATAAAGTACGAAGCATGAAATTGTAGTTAAATAATAAAATAAAATAAAGGTAACACCATAATTATAAAACAAAATGCAACACAGTATCCAATATACAATGCTAGTCATAGATAACAGTTTTTTTCCGTTCATTTTTATCTTTTACGCCTTTGAATCAGTTTGAATAAAAATATCGTTTTTGAAACGATTACGATATTAATTTTTTTATATCGATATATCGGATAAAAATGTATCGGCCAAAAATATCGATATATTGAATCGAATTCGTCATCCCTAATTCTCTATTCCATAGATACAGACAGTCCATAGATACAGACACTGTCTGTCAGAACTCAGACAGTAGGCATGAGATATACCTGCAACATTCTATACCCGGCCTCAAAGGTACGGGTCTCGCCGTATACCCGGTGCTAAAACCCAGTATCAAAATACCTATAGGTATTAGTTATGTTCAGGCCTCCTTTTGGAGACGCGATCGAATCAAACGAATTGAACCTTGGTTGGAATTGGAACATTTAAATGTTTTTTTTAGCAATCAGTTTTTTTAAATTGAGATTTAATCAGTCTAAAATAAGCTCCATCTTTACTAACGTAAAGAACCCTATTATCAAAAAAAAGTAATTCGAAATAAATATTACTGTTTACTGTAACCTTATTACGCAATTATTTATTTAACTTATGGTCATAGAAACAACGAATAAATTTATCTCAAGGAATTATTTGGTATAAAATGCCTAAATCATACGTTTCAATTCGGGCATGATCGGGAAGAGCCGCCGTAAGCGTTCGGGGAACTTCGTACCTATTCGGCCGGCGGGTTGTCGCGAGCGTATATACCGCCACCGTCGGACGAGGCGGCCATAGCCATACCTATCGGGTATGGAACGGGCCTCTGCCGTACATACGTCATACCCGATGTGCGGGCGGGTTGTCGCTAGCGTATATACCGCCACCGTCGGACGAGCGGCCATACCTATCGGGTATGGAACGGGCCTCTGCCGTACATACCCGGTGTGCGTACTGGTATGTTCATACTGGGTATTTATACCTGTTCCAGTATATACGCCTCATCCCTATCAGACAGTCAATGATTTTAGAGAAAGAAGTATGTAGTGTCTGACTAAAGTTTAACTTAAAAATTGAAAACATGACTGTTAACTATTTATTCTAATTAAAATACTAACAGAAACTTACGTTTACTTTGCCACATAAACTTTGGACTCAATTTCTCTATATTTGACAATATTGGGCTTCTTAATATTTAATTTTTTCTATCGCTACTATTTATTAACAAGGAAAATTTGTATTTCGATAACGATGGCGCGTTCTTTGTTAAGTTATGAAACCCTTGTACACGCCATGGCCGGTGCTACGGTATAAATTATTTTTAATTTATCTTTAATTTTTCTTAAGACTATACTATCACATTAACTTAAATTTTTAATTTTAGGGAAGTGTTGTTGGTATGGCAGTATTCTATCCTCTGGACATTATACGATCCAGACTTCAAGGTACACTTTAAAGTATTTAAATCGTAAAAAATATTTCACTATCTAATTTTCTTCACATAAATTCTTCTTACTGCTTGCTATATTGCTGTCTTGCTACTTTAAAAGTATTATCAATAAACTATTAGTATTGATAATAATTAAAAGTATAATTTTAAGTTTGTTTATTTATTTATTTATTACACTTACGCACACAACTATCATTACAGGCTGACCCAATGCGATAGTGTTGCCAAAAATGATAAAATAATATAATAAATAAAGTGCCTTAAAAGAGTCGGTAATTCCATTTTATAGAGGTTGTTTGTATCATACAAAATTCCCACTGATGGGCTATGAGATTTCAATAATAAATAATAATAAAATTTCCATTACTCATAAAATTACTTTTTTTTTTTTTGTTTTCAGTTGATGAGTCTGATAAGTTAAAAGGATCTCCTTGGGAATTACTTCTGCGCTTAGCTAATGATGAAGGTATTCTTTCTTTGTACAGAGGTCTAGCTCCAGTTTTGCAATCACTTTCTGTTTCAAATTTTGTTTACTTTTATACTTTCCATGCACTGCGAAGAGTTGGACCTAAAAGTAATTCTGCTTTACAAGATTTGATGTTTGGCATTTTTGCTGGAATTGTAAATGTCATTATAACATCTCCTCTTTGGGTTGTCAATACTAGAATGAAGTTGGAGAAAAATAACTATGCCAGTCTTATTGAAGGTCTAGGGGATGTATTTAAGAAAGAAGGGGTGCGTGGGTTATGGTCTGGAACAATACCATCTTTACTTTTAGTGTCTAATCCTGCTATTCAGTTCATGGTCTATGAGTCACTAAAAAGAAAGTTCTCATCTACTGGTAATTTTGATAATTTAACAGCCTTTTTTGTTGGTGCTGTAGCAAAGGCTATAGCAACTACGTTAACTTATCCATTACAATTGATTCAATCTAGGCTCCGTGCTGGGGCTAGTGTGAGACCTGTATTTAAAGATTTAAAGTCCAAACCAGCCACAGTATTCAGAGGTCTTGAAGCGAAATTGTTGCAGACAGTAATGACAGCTGCTTTGATGTTTGTTATTTATGAGAAGCTTGTCCGTTTAGTGTTAACTATTATGAGAGTTAAATTTGCTAAACGTCATTAAATGCTTGAAATGTACATGACACTTAAATTTATTCCTAATATATTTATTTCATGAATAATACCCAACCCTATTGTAGGGTGTAAACCACTTATTACATAATTTAATATCTACAGAATAACTGTTCCAATAGATAGTATTTGTTATCCTCAAATAGAAATTCAAGCATGGAACCTAGGAATAACTATAAATTTTTCCTTAAATTAATTGTAGCTTTACAATTTAGCAGGCCAGTTGCATGTCACATACTTCCGAAAACTTGTATTGTTTTTTTCAATACTAGTCTTATTTATACTCACAATCTTAATGTTTATTGTTATGGAATAGGATAAAGAACATTTTACGTAAAGTTAAAAAAATACTAATTAGCTATTTGCAAGATGTAGTGAGACTTATTTATGTGAAAATTGTTAATTATTTAATTTCGATAGTCAAGTAACTACAAAATGTTGATAATTACTTGTTAATGATAGGTTATTTTATGAAGTTTTAATTCCAAAGATATTTCTTTTTATTTTGGTCATGTGTTTTTTATAGACCAAGAATGAAATGTCAATTAATTACTTGATTTTATAGCATATTTTACAGATTTTTTTTTACTTTTGACTAGTGTTACTTTATTTCAAGAAATAATCTGATGACAATTAGAAAAAAACATTTAGCCAAGAAAAAAATTTTTTTTAATCTTAAATGGTATTTGGGTATTATTTTCTTTTTTGGATACATATTATATACATTGGTGAATCAGTTTAATACTATAGGTAGTAATGCTGCATTTGTTGGCTTACAACTATTTATTATAAGAACAATATGGGTGAATGTTAAGAAAAATTGCCAAATATTCCGAAAAACGTTTATTCAATAAAAGTGTTAATGAAAGTTTTGTTTTCTTTTCCTTTGTCATTATTTAACAGTGCCATACTGAAGCGAAAGTTTCATGTCTTCAGATGTCCTGATAACAACTTGTGTATATTCCTTCACAAGTGTTGCTAATTCATCGTACAGCTGTAACAATACCAATAATACGCAATTATGCAAACTAGGAAAGCCATTTGATAGCTGATTAGTTAACTTCTATGATGATCAGTGTTTCAGAAACCGGGCATTAATTCACAAGGCAATTTAAGGCATACAACTTTAATAGTAATCTGTAAGATAATTATGTTCTGTGTTATTTGTGAACAATACATAATTGGTTGGTCCCGATATTTTATTAATGCTGGCCTTTTTTAAGACTAAGCTATAATAAAATTATATGCAATGAAAAGAAACCTCAACTGATATTTTACTATTATGATGTTTATCTTGACGAGTTAATGTTAAAAACGGATTAAAGCAGGGTCATTTTTTTAAGTAAATACCGTATGAGTCAATATGTGTTTTCCGTTACCTGTATTTGCATACCGTTTTACACGCTTATACGAAAAAGCCATTAAAACTACTGCGAACGCGTCATTTTTATACTGTTAATAACAAATTTTAATAAAAAAGAATTGGTATAGTTACCAACTTTTTGAAAAGGGTATGTTATAGTCAATACTTAAATCTGATTTTATTATTGCATTTAATTTTGATTTTAATTCCCACATTTCGAACAATTTCAGAGTCCATAGTATGTATGTTCAATATGATTGTGTTGTATTTATAGTATACTCGCATTACACAAGAAATAATTATACAATCAAGTTACAACTTACATGGGTAACATATTCAAAAATTATAAAAAATCAGCTTGCAAGATGATGACTTCACAATGTAATTATGCTAATAAATACAGTGTCCGAAGGCCAACTAACAAAGACATTGTTTAAGGATTTTATGTTCATTTAGAAGCAGTACCGGACAAACACCGACATTATGTTTGATACAAACTTTGTAGCCGTGTTTTGTTACTTATATTTTGTCGCTAATGAAAATATGAACGTACTCAAGAAGCTATTTAACTTAACAAAGACATAACAAAGATAAAACAAAGAGTACTGCTAATTATTTTTTATCTTACAATACAAACAAAACATAATGCAAATCAGACGCAGGTGCGAATCCCAGCAGCGCAGAACATTTTTCGACAATTTATCTAAGTCACTGATATAACACTTGGCTTGGTACCGACTCCGAAAATTTGTTAATTTTTTGGAGTCGGTTATTCTCTTATCTTTTCAGTAGTTCCCTCAATGCTGAGGATCGTGACTGGTATTCAATTGGTCATCGAGTCGTCTCCATCGGCTTCGCTCCATCGCAATATACGGCGCAGACTTTCAAGGCCGCAGATCAGATAGACAAAGAATAAACGCCCTTGAAATGTGGAGTTGGCGCCGTATGCTGCGAATATCACGGACGGCCCGGTGCTCAAACATCTTAAAGCAGCTTGCTTAAGGCGCTGTATGCAGTGAATTTTTAACTGTTTGGGTGGTGAAGTATGAGGAAGCGGAGGAGGGGTAGCGATGTGCGACTCGAGTTAATTGACTCGAGTAACTCGAGTCAAACATTAAACGAGTCAACTCGAGTTCAGTTTTAAGCAACTCGAATCAACTCGGTCGTCCGAACGCAAGCCGGAACGGGGGCCTCACGAGTTGTTCCGAGTTATACACGCGGCTCGCGCGCGCGATTCGTTAGGCGTTGCAACTCGCATCAACTCGAGTTTTGTGAAATGTAAAGTTACGTTTCACGCGCGCGCGCCGTACGTAAGGTGTTGCATCTTACTCGCATCAACTCGAATAGAACTCGGGCTCGTTCGGCTAGGATCGGAGACGGAATTGCGCAAATGATAAACCGCTTTAAAAGTTTATTTTGTTTTTTGGTTGACATTTTGTTATTTGATTTTATTAGATGGCCGTTGGCGATCCGCGTGCTAACTGACATTTTTGATTTGTTAGTGATCTGTTTTGTTTTGTTTGTAATGACGTCAAATAACAGAAGTGTGGCGTGGGAATTCTTTGCTATAAAAACAGAAACTTTTTTTAACTTTATTTTCGATAAGCAATCGACTATGTACAATTAAATTTTATAAGTACGACTTTGAGGCGATAGATGGCGGTATTTTTTGTCGTATTTTCTTAAACACGATGTTGAGATCTGCGCTGGAATAATATACCCTTTGTTGATTGATTTTCGAAATAAAATGCACACTAGTGCCAATTGATTGTAAATTTTGTCTTTGAAATCCCAACCGTCGGACACTGTTCGAGGTCGAGGTGTATAGAAAAAGGAGAGGATTAGATCAGACCACAAACGAAGTTGCGAATCGACTCGAGTAGCCACACAACATCACGATTCAACATCATTATTACTTCCTATATCATTATTACTCGTGCTCTCCGAGTTGGCCGAGTCGTCCCCCCCCCCCCCCCCCCCCCTATGTCCCTACCTGAGACTTCGATGCGAGTCAACTCGAGTTGCGATTCGAGTCAGTAGCCAAATCAACTCGAGTAACTCGAGTCAAAAAAAATCCAACTCGTCACATCACTGAGGAGGGGTAACGCCGCTTAACGGCGCGCAGCGCGCGAGTTTCGTCGACGCGCCGCTAGACCATTCGTTACCTAGTGTGTAGTGATGGGCCGTAGGACACTATGGACAGTATCATGGAAGGCTTTCGAAAATGTACACAGATGATCTCTATAATATCTTTTATAGACCATGATTGTACTTTACTTTTATATTATTATAGGAATAATAATAAACAAACAAATATAAAGTATGAGAAAGCAATCAAAAATTTTAGAAAAACTTCCTATTAATTATTTTAAATTATCAGTTATTAATTATTATTTTAAAAATACATCTTAAGGTTAAATAAATTAATAAAGGCAAATGACATTTCTTACAACAAAACAATAAATAAACGAATAATTATTTATTTTCATTTAAAGTTTAATTACGCAATTTCATAGTCTCCACGGCAGAAATTACGAATACGACTTTTTTATTACATATTTTCTTAAACTTTATATCTTTAATTTATCCTTTAAATGTGAAAGACTTACTACGTTATATTAATTCCTCAATGAAATTATATTTAAAAAATTATCGATAAAATTCCTTATATCGATAAACGACAACTAGAATCGAAATACTGTTCCCTTCCGCAGACATCGTGTAGCCTATTGGTCCGAGCGTCATGGTTGATACATCTTTTTCCAATTTTAATTTGTTAATCAATTTATTATTTTGTTGTTATTTGATAAAATGTGGAAAATACAAAAATTATAAAACAATTATTTTTCGTGTTCGTAAAAGAATAGTTTTCGTTTTAGGGTGAATTAAAATTAAATATTTTAATAAAACAAATTAAAAATAATATACAATATAAGACTTGTTAAAAATTTTAAATAATGAAAACTTGGTTTATTATCTGATAGATTGTTCTCCAACTGTTGCGTTCTACGTTCAACAAATACAATAATATTTAGTTGTAATTATTTATAAAAATAAAAAAATCTAATTAAAAAAAATACCTACAAAAAGAAAATCACCAAAAAATATAACAAAGCAAAATGTAGGGATTTGAACCCAATCCCTATAGAATGATGGTCCTTTACACAGTGTTACCAACTGTTCAAATATAATACTCCTAAACAATTCGAAAACCGACTAAAATTTATTAAATTCAAACAAAAATTTCTAAATTTAAAATCAGGATTTTTTTTTATATTATAGGAAAAGGCAAAGTAATTATCTGATAAAATAAACCATGGTCAAGAACATCAAATATAACATAATTCATTTGAAATGAATATGTTAAGAATAAAAGCAAAACAATATTAAAAAAAAATATTAGAATACATAAAATATTCATACCAGACACATAGGCCTTGGCCTGACGTCATCCAAAGCAGCACGGCACTGATTTTGTTTTTAAATAAGTTGTTTTGTGTAGTTTTTTTTCGAAAATTAATTTTAATTTACCTCCCAATAAACTTCCATCACATTCTTTATTCCTAAATTTCGGAAGAAAATTCCTAAGTTGGCATCCCTGCCTTAACACTGTTTGTATAGGACTGATAAACTTAACAATGACAAGATAAGATATTGAAATTACGCCTTAGTTGTTAATTCATACAAATAATTAAAAATACGAAATATGTGAATACATATTTTTTAGTTTCGTGTTTTCGAAAGATCTAATAAAATTATAACCCTCAATAATAAATAAATACGGAACATATTTCGTAACGGTGAGCGGAAGACGAGTAACATAGGTCCATCTAGCAAGGCGCCTCCGCGCTCTCTGTTCAACGTGTGGAGTTGGAAGAGAGCCGAAACAATGCCGCGGTGGCGCGGTGTTTTGGTCATCGCGTTCGAATAAATTTTAATGAATTAAATTAATATTTAGAAATATCTTACATCAATCAACAAATTAAAACAACAATCCTTTTTATTAATATATTCTACACAACTGATATTAATTTCATTAAGATTTGTTGATGTATTGCGTTCATTTTTGATTTTGAATTTCGCTTTTAGAGGTAGTTTCATGATTTTTTTCTATCGAGAAAATCTAATATCAATTTAATATATCGAGAATATGTTTTGGAAACAATGTTCCCTTAGAATGTACGATCAAGATTAACATATATTTTTTTTGCTGCTATAAAATGTGTAGATTTTGCTAAAAAATCTTTTGAAAAACCTATTTTTACTGCATACAGCGCCTTAAAATAGAAAATGCTCAGTCTGTACACAGTCTGCTTTGCATAGTACGATACTTTGGCCACGCAGAGGATCAGATAACCTTGAGCGTTTGGTGGAGACGGGGAAAATAAGAGGGTAAAAGACCTAGAGGCCTCCTAACCGGTGGGCGGAATAAATTTCTGAAAACCTAGAAATCCCCATAAGCTTATATGTATTACGGATATTATTTTATACACCTAATAGGGACTATAGAACTCAGTATCTGGTATAAATTTCAACTTGCTAAGTCCACCCGCTTCTTGAGAAAATCAATGGTGATTATTTACGGAACCTCGCTCAGCAATCTATAGGAGCTACGTTTGGTATTTGCCATCGCAGTGTAGGGCGATCAGATCAGAAAAGAGGGAGTTTCTTTCGGCCGTTTCTTCTCCTTTTGAGGAAGCTCATTACGAAACGGCGGTAGATTTAAGAAAATACTATCGATAGATGAAATTGACGTTTCCGAAGTCCATTAGATGGAGCGACGAGCCGTGCAAATGCGGACGCAGGTGGCTCAGAATCATGCTTCGTGGTGGTGCGGGGAGTACCTGGCGACACTCGTCCAGGTGCAGGTGGTGGCGCAGCTCGGCGAGCAGCAGGTCCGCTGGGGCGAGCGGCGCGGCGAGCGGCACGCGGCCCGCGCACGCCGTGAGCCCGCAGAGCGCCGAGCGCAGCGCGCCGCAGCACGCCTCGCCCGCCTCCAGGGCGCGCCCGCCGCCCAGCAGCGCTCGGATGCACGCCGCCCCGTCCGCCTCCTGCGGCGCGGCAATGCGGCCGGCTGTTATTTATGTTTGTAGAGCGCCCTTACAACGCTGAATAATGCTATCCTAGAGTAAATAAAACAAGTCAGTGAATGGTCGAACAGTGGCGTGTCAACTTTTCTGCGGTAGGGCCACGCAACAGTGTTCGCCGGTGCAATAATGGGCAGGTCCGTCCGGGTTAGTACCACGACCTCACAGAAGACTGGAGTGAAGTCAGTGTTACGCTTCTGGTGAGTGAGGTACAGTTTATTAAAAGGTACGCGACGAGGCAACGCGTCTGCAATGGGTGCTGCCATGTCGGCAAATGTCCATGGACGGCAGTTATCACTTAGCATCAGGTGAAACGCCAGCTCGATTACCACTTTCTCACATAAAAAAAACTTGGCTGTCACCACTTTACGACGATTTACACTACTGTACTTGTCTACTATACCAAAGGCTTGAAGAGTGTAAATCAGGCTTAATAGCTGTAATACCTATTTACTTCGACGTCGGGGGTCGTGGGTTTGATTACCACACGGGACAAGTATTTAAGTGACCCACGGATGTTTCCCAAGATGGGTTGACGTCAGGCAGGCGGCCGGTCGAAAGAAAACATAGCCAAAACCGCTTAGGACATGATTTACTTTTTTTGCCGACCCAATAATAAAGGAGGATTCCCAAGGATAAAAGAAAAAGGATTATAATGTGGAAGAAACACGAGGTAGCTTCTTCTTTTGCACGAATGGAAAGACTCGACCGATCGGCGTGAATTGGAAGTGTTTTTCATCTGGTGAATGGGGCAACGGGGGCCCACTTTATTGAAGATTTGGAAACCCATCTGCAGCGCTTCGGGTGTTGTCCATAGTGATGCGACTCGAGTCTTTAATTAATTTCTAAATGTTAGTAAGCCTAGGTGGATAATAATAATTGCAAATAAAAACCAAACCATAAATCTAAGAAGGAACCATCTCGGGAGAAACTGCTCGTGGCTGATGGCCCTTTTGGTGATTGCAAGCAGTGTCTCGGCCTCTGCGTCTTTCAAATAAGGGAACAGCTGGTCGAAATCAATCGGTTCGTGACCTAAGATAAATGAGAAGGAAATGTTAAACTTTTTCTCTAAAACCAAGCATCAGAATCAAATATTGAAAAGGATAATTATGGACACAAAAAGAAAAATTCGAAATAAATTCGCAAATTTATACAGTCTTAGGTAAATTTAAGTATAAGTTTTATTCTGTTACACAATGATATGTAGTTAAAGGTATTGGTTTAATCAGGCTCTCAAATTGAAATTACTTCTTACAAACGCAATGTAAGTGTCATGACATCAGTGAGTTGCCATACATACGTTGCAAAGTCCGTTGCACTGGATCCAGCGATTCTGGGTCTTCTGCACGCAGTTCGGCAGCCAACTCTTCCGGGCCAATCACCTAGTAGTAAAAAAATTTTTGAAAAACTAATTTTAAATCAACTCTTAGTACATTTTAATATGAACAAAATTTTCCACAATGAGCAATATGGATTCACTAAAGGCAGATCGACAACGGATGCGGGTGTCGCACTTGTCAAGCATATTTATAACGCCTGGGAATGGTCACAAGATGCAATAGGTGTCTTTTGCGACCTTTCAAAGGCTTTCGACTGTGTAGACCACGAAACCCTCCTTCAAAAGTTAGATTATTATGGCATTCGTGACATCGCCCTCAATCTCATTGCCTCTTACCTTAGTAATAGAATTCAAAAAGTATCTATAAATGATGTAAGTTCCGCAGGGTCCCCCATGAAAATGGGTGTCCCACAAGGATCAATCTTGGGTCCATTATTATTCTTAGTGTATATAAATGATCTCCCCTTTTATGCCAGTGAGTTATGTGATGTTGTACTGTTTGCTGACGACACATCGCTCATTTTTAAGGTTGACCGAAACGTGTCGGATTATGACGACGTGAATAGTGCACTTTCGCGTATCCTCCACTGGTTTACCGTTAATAATATGGTGTTAAATGCTAAAAAAAACTAAATGCCTTCTTTTTACCCTTCCCAGCGTAAGAAGGCGAAGTTTTAGCTTAACATTAAATAGCGTAACCCTTAATCCTGTTGAGTCCGCTGTATTCTTGGGAATTACAGTGGATTCAAAGCTCCAATGGAGTCCCCATCTATCATCTCTTGCGAACAGGTTAAGCTCCGCTGTTTTTGCAATTAGGAAGGTTAGGCAGCTATCAGACATCGACACTGCCAGACTTGTTTACTACAGTTACTTTCACAGCATCTTGTCTTACGGCATTTTGTTGTGGGGTAGTGCATCTGATATAAATTCTATATTTATTCTTCAAAAAAGAGCTGTCCGAGCAATCTATAACATCGGAGCCCGGAATACACTCAGAGACCTTTTTAAAGAGATTAATATACTCACTGTTGCGTCTCAATATATTTATTGTAATATTTTGTATGTTAAACATAATATTAATAGTTACCTAAAGAATAGTGACAGACATAAACTAAATACTAGAAATAAGGCCAAACTAACTACGTCGTTGTTTCGTCTACAAAAAGTAAACAGGTCGTTCATGGGGCAAAGTGTGCGCATGTATAATAAAATCCCTCAGTCGATATTAAGTCTGCCACTTGACGAATTTAAACGAAAAATTAAAAGTAAACTTATGGCTAAAGCCTATTATTCTATTGCCGAATATCTTGACGACGGCAATGTGTGGGATTAATACTGTTGATACTCACGTAGGCTAAAACAAGACTATTGTACCTGTACTATTATATTGTAAACCGATTTTTTTTAAAAAGAGCAACTGTTGAGTTTCTTGCCGGTTTCTTCTCAACAGAAACTGCTTTCCGAACCGGTGGTAACTTACGAACGTGTTAATTTCTTGTAAAATTTTGACGTTTCATAAGAACGCGCAAGCGTCTATGTGAATAAAGATATTTTATTTATTATTATAGTAGAAATTTCACAGTCACGAAAACAATGAATTCGTACTGTGACTTACGTCATCATTGCACTCAAATTACATTTAAACCAATGCTTGGCCATTGTTTTAGAACGATAATTCGAACGAAATTTCGCATTTGTTATTTCTTTGCTAAAGTAGTTTTTTTACTCCGGGCAGAAAGTTTAACATATGACATCGGTTCGCATCGACTTCCAACTGTATATTTCTTTTGTTTTAATTACGAGAACGGCAAAGTTGTCGATTAACGCATTAATGACAATAGTGGTTAATAATAAATAGTTGTTATATATTTTTTGCGACCACTTGCTTTTTTTCATCGCGCCCAGGGAACTGACCTTCCTTGATTGGCTACCTCACTCACCCGACGAAACGCAGTAGTATGACATCTCCACTTAATAATAGATATTTATTGGTCTAAAATCACAAAATAGGATTAACAATAAAATTTTAATAATTGAAAACAAAAACATGATAATAATGGAAAAAAATTACCATATTTAAAAACTTTACCTTGAAATTAAAACATGCCAGCAATTCATAAATATCATCCGCAATGTCCAACTCCTATCATGTCGGTACCCGAGAGCTACTGATGCATCAAAATCCATTTTTCTTTGCATCAATATTTTGTTTTGAAATGAGATACTGACCGCAGCCCACGAATAGGTGGTGGTAAATCATTGCAGCACTTCACGACGGTCTGCCGTGAGGTCGTGGTCCTTACCCGGACGGACTTGCCCATTCGTGCAACAGCCGAAGCTAGTGCGTGGCCCAGCCCCAGAAATCGGTTTGTATGCTAACAAGTCACGAGCGATCGATTCGTTTGTCGCATCCGAAATGAGGGGAAACCCCCTCGGAGCATTACCTGCAGGGCGGCGGCAGGCGCGGCGGCTGTGGCCAGTGCGCCTAGGGGCCTGGGGGCGTCGTCGGCGGAGGGGGCGGTGCCGGGGGTGGTGGCGGGGGCGGGGGCTGCGGAGGGCGGGGGGGCGGCGGGGCGCGCGAGGAACGCGTGCTCGGGGCGCGCGAGGCGCAGGCACGTGAGCGCCGCCGCCAGCCACTTGCGCCGCGCACCCGCCCCGCCCCGCTCCGCCGCGCACCGCGTCGCCCGCTCGTACAGCACCGCGGCAGCTGCACACACACACTTACTGGAGTCATCCGCACTGAACGAGTATGGAGGGTAGAGGTAAATGAGAACGGCCTTGTATGGGGAAAAAATTGTAAGTGACCAGAGCTGTATGCCGGGAATAAATGTGACTCATCTTATCCTCTTGCACAATATTGTATTATACTAATAAATATGCCTAATGTCGTTAAAAATTGCAAAGTTGCGATGCAAGTGAAACATAGGCGGTATTCGCAACCAACCGGCTGTTAATCAGTTTGCGCGCACATCGTAAAACAAGGGTAGATCGAGAAGAGAAACCTTTGCGGTAGTGGTGCCTGGAGACGTGGAGCGCGTAGAGGAAGTCGTAGTAGGGGTTGTGCGCGGCCGCGTCGTGCAGTTTGGCGCGCGCTGCGGCCGCCCGTTCCGCCTCCGCCGCCAAAGCGCTGCACGACACTAGCGCGCCCAGCTGCTTACGGCCCGCTACATAAAACGCCACAACAAGCTCATTCCGCAGACCCGGAATTTATTGCTTCTTTATTTATTATGTTCTTTTTTTATGTGAGATCGTTGCAAGCGAGGTGGCGGCGCACCTGATGGTAAATGACAACCGCCTTCCGTGGACATTGAGGGTTGGTATTCAAGGTTGGACATACGTTGTCATGTTATATTAAAGTGGGTCCCGGCTACCTCATTTATCAAAGTTCCAATTGACGCCGGTCGCCTGTGAGGTCGTGGTACATAGCCGGTCGGACCTGCCCGCTCGCGCAACGGCAGAGACTGTCCTTATTACATCAGCTATCTGCCAGTGAAAGTCCCGCCAAAAAAAAATATCCAGCATGGTGAGGGGGTGTGCGGCGGCAATAATATAATCTAATAGAGACCGATGAAAACGTTTGTCAACACTGAACGCCAAGAAAGCCATACCCAGCGTGGTGAGGAGGTGAGCGGCGGCGGCGGCGCGCGCGTGGGGCGCCGGGTTGGCGGCGGCCGCGCCCAGCGCCCGCTCCACGCGCCCGCCCGCCAGGTGCCACTTGAACACCACCCACTGGAACATCGGCTGCACCGAGCACGTTGCGCGTCAACGACGATTGTTAATTACATATACTTTATAAATATTAATAAAATGATATATTTGTAAAGTTGATGATGTAAAGCTGTACTAAGGGATAACCTGAAAATCAGCACTGAGAAACCTTTTTACCAAAATGTTATATTTATATAGTTTTTGTGTATCATAATTGGTTGTTATTATATCTTTTTTTTAATATTTTTCAATTTTTTTTGGGTTATGGCAAATAAAGTATTATTATTATTATTTCAAAATAAAACTTATGTGGAGGTTGACCATCCGCAGTGGGGTCGCGTAGTGGGATTAATTCCCTCTGACTTGACTGTACTTTTTCGAAAGCAACTCAAAAACTATAGTCTCAATAAATTATACTTTCAATCAAATTAATTTATTTAATTGTTATATAATGAATGATCAATTTTTATTTATAGTGCTAGTCTCCGCACTCAAGTTGAAACGTAAAATGTAAATTATTGTGAAACGGACCCCGAAGCTGTACCAACAAAACTAAGTCTACTTGCGTTACCCGAAAGACATGGTTTAAATCACGCAACCTACAAAACGCAGAAGTACTTTTGATGGAAAAAGAACGAATAAAATTATTATATATCCAAATAACTTATGCCGATTGAGTAATTTTTACACGTTAGAAATAAGGGATAAGGAAATTCATTGCTACCCACTATTGTCATTCTCTTGTACACATACACAATATCTATATGTTCACATTGATAAAGTGGGGATTAACAGACATATAAATTATGGATAAATATATATACAGATGTGAAACTTATAAATACCAAATTTGGATCGTCCTTATCGGCGATACTAATCGCAGTTTCAGCGAGCCGTACTACACAAGCGCCAGCGTCGTGAATCTCGAATAATTTGATCACCTAGAAGCAAGGAGATTGTTAAAATATTAAACATGCTTCGTATTTCATTTTATAATCCAACTTAAGGAACCATCACACCAATTTTTTATTTCAACTTGTTAACTAGAAATAAATTTATGAAGCTACCGCGTTACGATCGGAAGATCACATCATTGGCTAAGTTAGTTCTTAGCATAATTTTAAGTTTTTAACTTATCTATACTGGTCCATACAGTAAGTTTTATCGACCTCTGAGCGATATTTAATTCGGTAGTCCAAACAACCAAGGATTATTTGCTATACCTTCATATAATAAAGTACAAGCGCTTGATGCTGCGTTAGTTGTGCGTCGGCCGCTGCCACCAGGTGCCGCAGGAATGGCTCCGTGCTCACTCCCTTGGCCGCCTTGCAGAATGCGGTGTAAGCACTCTCTGCTTCATCAGTATCCAGCAATGATAGCCCCAATATAAACTGACCTGTCACAGTAAATAAACTTATTGAAAATGTGGAAGAATATTTTTCAAAGTATTTTTAATACTCCGTTTTTATGATAGCGATGTGGTATTTGCCTAGTTGTATTGTTTTTCCAGACATTTGGATGAGTAAATAATTTTTATTACTTCGATATTCGATAAAAATATATTTTCACATGGGACACTCAGAAATAAAAAATGATGTGGTGTCGTGGGACACCAGGTAGGAACGAAGTTCCTTCGGCTAATGTAGAATCGACACAAATTGCAAAAAAAATCGTGCTCAATTTTATGTAGGTTTTCTTGATTTTTCTCTTAAATTTTGCTGATTAGTTTTTATTTAAGTACAAGAAAGTATTTAGGAAATTCAGTATTTTAGGAAATAATAAATTACTTAAAATAAAAAAACATCGTAATTCAAATTATCAACTAAAATAACAAAATTATACACTACTCGCTTGTGTATGCGACTGTCGCGCCTGCGCACGTCTCATTTAACGGTTTTATTCCACGCACTTTTTTCTACGGATTTTTTCTTACGGTTTTACTATCACATGTTTTTTCAGTTCGGTCGCGCAGCAAAATCCCTATCTCCTCCAAGCCTGCCGTAAGGAACTTCGTTCCAATAAATATTTTCGGACACATTTTTACACAACGCTCTCTAGTCCCAAACTAAGTAACACTTGTAGTATGGGTAATAGCAAACTGATAAACATACTTTTCGAAATAAATACTTAGACACTGAAAAAAGACTATGTTCATCACACAATATTTCTCCAGTAGGGGGCATCGTCATCAGACTCGGAAACTTTTGAAAAAAACTAACTCATTTCGATAAAATATTTTCATCAATTTTTTAAAATGAACTCTACACCAGCCTTTATACAAAGTTCCATGGTTCTGAACCAATTTCGGAAGCTCTTTGTCCAGTCCGCCGCAGACACCTCTTCTACTAACGCGTCTTTCGGCGGTGAAAACTTTTTCCCTTTTAGTTGATTTTTGTTTGGGAATAAAAAGAAGTCACACTGTCACTCTGAGGGTGACTAGAGACTGACCGGTGTAGTGTTAAAAAGTCCCTCGCTTTAGGCGCTGAGTGCGTGGGTACTCTGTCATGGTGAAGTAGTAACCGGCAGAGCCTGTTGCTCGGCTGCTTGTCATCAGTAAAATCTTTTGGTAGGAATTTTAAACGGTGGTAGGGCCACGCAGCTGCCTCGGCTGTTGCACGAATGCGCAGGCCGATCCGGGTAAGTACCACAACCTCACAGAAGATCAGCGTAAAGTGGAAGTATGACAAATACTCTCACGTTTCGTCTGGTGAGTGAGGTAGCCGGATCAAGTGAACAGTCTGCTCGTTTGGCAACTTTTCACATAAAAAAGTTACCAAAACTGTCCGAGTGGCCTGGTATATAGTTTTTGGAAAACTAGATCGTTATTGAGTGAATTAAATAAATATAGTAATCATTGTATTTAAAAGAAGAAGAACCGTCGAAACCGATAGATTGGTGGTATTAAAAATTATATGGAAAATTACGCACAAAAAGAAACTTACGCGAACATGCGTTCCATTCGCACCATGGCTCGAGCATTGCGACGTAATTCTGCACAAGTCGTGGCTGATTTATGGAAGCTAACCACCAACCAAAATCGAAACCGCCGCTTACCGCCCATCTGTTACTCGTATTTAGGAAATTTATGTAAAAATGTTGTGTAATTCAATAAATCTGTAATTCCAATCGAAATCTCATAACCGCCGCTTACCGCCCATCTGTTACTCGTATTTAGGAAATTTATGTAAAAATGTTGTGTAATTCAATAAATCTCAACAGATAATATATTATATCCTATCATTGAGCCGGTATTTATTACAGTTTTGTTTTTAACAAAACTACTGACATATAGCTAGAGTTTCCAAAGTTTATTTTACACAATTTTGATATAGATGTAGCACTAAGCTTCATCGTCAAGTGGAATATAAAACTTTCGCGTTTCGGTTGTGAGTGAGGTGACTGTGGCCCACTTTTTTAACGATTGACAACGCATTTGCACGTGATATCAGGTGAAACACCTGCCCGCTTGCCAATTTTTCACATAAAAAAAATGAAAATAAGTCCGTTGGATTCTCGCGCGAAAGGATACAGCTGGTGCGCGATGTGGTAGGCCATGAGGGGCAGCGCGTGGTGCGCGTGGGGGGGCGCCCTTGCGGCCGCGAGGTGCATCCGCGCGCGGCGCCCCCCCGCCGAGGCCGCGTACGCCGCCACCGCGCCCCCTCCACCTCCCCCTCCCGCCGCGCGCACCTCCCCGCCCGCGCCCAGCGCGCTCAGCTTCAGCCGGAATGCCTCCGTCGACCGCGCGCACCTGGCACACGAGCAAAATTACCTCACTTCAGACATACTCATCAAATTATCGACTCACTAGAAGACACTCGGGAGACGCTCTCAATATGCTGGCGTAATTGATTAGAATTGCCGTAATTAGGGTATACAACAACAAAAACTCACGGAGTATGGAGGGCGGCGGAGCGCAGCCAGAGCAGCGCGCGGTAGGCCTGCCAGTGCACGGCGCAGTGGCCGGCGCCCGGCACGCCGCCCGCGCCCCGCGCCACGCCCAGCGCCGCCAACGCCCCGCGCACCACCCGCGCCCTGAACACACACAACCACCACTTTCACACACAGACACAAACACAGGCACAAACACACACACACACACACACACACACACACACACACACATGACACACTATGTGCAAGGATAGCTACGAAGGCTCATTACGGTACGAACGCATTAGAATTCAATTAGGCTCTTAAAATAGCACTTCGTATTCGTATATTAGTATAAATAACTCAACATAAAATTAAAGATTAAAAATTATAAAGTAAAAAAGTAAAGATTAAAGTAAAAGTAAAAGATTAAAATACCGCGACAAATTTGGATTCAGTTCTTTTACAACAGAAAATAGCATTTCTCCATGCTATATTCTGTTGTACAGCATGCATGCATTTGTATGAATAACCGGTAATACATGAATATAAAATTATCTAACCTCATCTCTGCCATTTGCCGTATTGCTTCTGTAACTACAGCTACCCCCAATTCGCTAGCGAAAAGATTGTCGTACTCGCTGGTATCATCATCGTCGCCTGAAAAAAATGTTGCTTGGATGATATAAATGCGCAAACAACTAATGCTTAAATAAGTTCAATTATAATTCAACTGTAACGAGGTAAGTTTTGATCACGGTATTAAATACAGATCATGCAACTCTGGTTTCGAAGTGGGCCTCTTTGGGTCAGACAGGGCTGACGGCGCCTTAGCGACTGATTTAGTAACAATCGAAACTCAAAAAAAAACGACAGTCATCACTCCGCTGCGCACCTTTCGTCCGTCCGAGTCTCCCATCGTGAACTCGTCGTTGTACTCAAGCGTTTTAGGTTGAATTTCGATTATCACGAAATTTTTCTCGCTTCACCACCAGCTCTACGGCTAAATTGTAAGACCTGTATGTAGGACCGCCGGTTGCAATAAATTGAATAACAATGATTAAAAACATACTTTTGGTTGTGTCCATCTCAGGTACATCCAATCTTAAAGCGTCATTAAGTTCAAGAACGGCGTTCTGTAGATCTTTGATTGGCTCCAAGATAGATGTCAGCTCATCAATTTGTTGCGGAGTTAATGTCTGTAATAAATGCCAATCCCACTACATTTACAAATGTTGTCAAGTTTAGGTTATTTAGAGCCGTGATAGTTCAGTGACCGGGCGCTCGCCTTTAATTCAATATACTCGAGCAACCTGAGATTGATCCCAGGTGCCGGCATCAATGAAAAATTTTTAATTTCAAGTGCTGACTTATCACGTGCTCAGCGGTGAAGGAAAAAATCGTGAGGAAACCTACATATTTTCGAAATAATATAAAAAAAAATTGGCAGATATGTGAAGTCCGCCAATCCACATTGGGGCAGCGTGGTGGACTATGCCCCGATACCCTCTGTACTGAGGAGGCCTTTGCCCAGCAGTGGGATATGTACAGGCTGTTACTTTACTTTTTACATTTTTAGGTTATTTTCCTAAGTTGGAGACTGTTTCATATTTCGTAGAAGCGTCTGTGTGAGTAATACTGATAACCTCCAAGAAACTGTTATGTGGTTTGGACATGACGGTACTGGAGTGCTGGCTTATGCTTTTACTTTGCCTGGTTGCCGGCGGGGGGCATTTTTTTATGTGAACGGTGGGAAGCCAGCTAACGTTTCACCTGACGCTAAGTGATAACCACCGCCCATGGACATTTGCAACACCCGTAGGGTGCGTGGAGAGAGAGAGAGAGAGAGAGAGCGAGAAGGGGAGGCACCGGCACGGGGTGCGGCTGCGAGTGCGGCTGCGAGAGCGGCGCGAGCAGCAGGTGCAGCAGCCTCGGCAGCAGCCGGTGCTGGGGCGCGGCGCAGGCGAACAGCCGCCGCTCCAGCTCGTGCGCGCCGCCCGCCGTCGCCGCCCGCTCCCAGCGCGCGCCCGCCACCACCACGCGCACCGCCTCCGCCGACAGCTCGCCCGCCTCGCCTGCTCGCACGGACGTCCCGTTTGGTTCCGTTTCACGTAACAAGTTTCACAACGACTAAGAAAATCCACGAAAATGCGATTGACAACGATCTAATTAATCACTTGGATTGGAACTATGGGAAAATGTCAAAATGTTATCCACCACATGGTAACATTCCACGGAAGTTGATGTCGCGCATCGCTAGTAAAAATTCACTTTAAATAATTTTACCAAACACACCAAAAGATAACACAATAAAACACACAAGAAGCCGTGATAGCTCAGTGTCCGGGCGCTCGCCTTTAGTTCAATATACCCGAGCAACCTGAGTTCGATCCCCGGTGCCGGCACCAATGAAGTTTTTAACTTTAAGTGCTGACTTATCACGTGCACGGTGAAGGAAAACATCGTGAGGAAACCTGCATATTTTCGAAATAATAACAAAAAAAAATATATTTCGAAGATATGTGAAGTCCGCCAATCCGCAGTGGGGCCGCGTGGTGGACTATGCCCTGATACCCTCTGTACAGAGGAGGCCTTTGCCCAGCAGTGGGACATGTATTGGCTGTTACTTTACTTTACTTTTACACCAAAAGATGTTCAAGACATCTAAAGCAAAGCAAGCTTCAAAACATTATTTAAGCTTTCAATAGTAAAAAAAACCATCACCAAATTGGAAATTTTGGTATACAGAGGGGCTTTTTTAAGTGTATCCATTTTTTTATAAAATTCTTGACACAAATAATGTTATATAAAAATTGATAAATATTTAAAATCACTCGTAATTAATTAAATAAATTCATTTGAACTTATCTCAAAAAGTGCGTGATTTATGGGCAACCCATTTATTTTACGCGCGATCATTCATAACTAACACGCACACAAGTTTTCAAAAGTATACGACGCATTTATGATTGACTACGCCATTGTCAACAATTTCTGTTTTTTAGGGAATAGAATGGCAATTTAAACGATTATTTTACCGAGTCTGAACCTCCTGTGTGAATTTGGGCACCTTTTGAAAAGCCACCCTGTATAATTATTAACAACTTTACACCTTAGACTTTTAAAACAACAAAAAATATTAATCGAAAGAGAAATTGCACTGCTGACATAATTCATAACTTAAAATCGAAAAAAAAAATTTAAAATTTCATGCAATGGAAATCCACCATTACTTTGCGTACAATATTCTGTAAAATTAAAACTCGAACATTAATGGCAATACAAAAAAAAGTGATCAACACTAGCATAGAGTCAATGTTTTTTTTTGCATTAGCGTTGACGAGAAGTTGGCACGCGAGAAGGCGTTTCATACGGTGTTTAATTCCCCTCCTACTATAGATTCCCACCTCGTTGTAGAGGATGGGCTTATTATCTTGGCTAAAAGATGAGGCCAAAATACTAAGCCCCTCACGATGAACCCGCAGTGGACCTACCTTTGATGTAAGCCGGCCCGAGAGGACCGCTCCAAGTGGGCTCACTGATTCTACTCTGGATGCGTGCTAGGAATGACTTCATCCGACCACTGCGCAGTTGCAAAGGTCGTTGGGTTCGATTCTCGGACGAGCGAACTATTTGTGATTTGTGAGTCACAGATGGTAAAATGTCGTTACAAGGGGCAATGTTTTCGAAAGGAAAACTACCTATTGTAGTTTTCCTTTTTTCGTTTTCCTATCTTTCTACGTCGCAGTGGTCGGATTCACTACCCAAGCTTTTCCACACAAAATGCAATACAATACAGTGCGTGCTGGGAATGTGCGGTTGAGGGACAGGTAGAAGGAAGTAGTAAGTGCAATGCAGTAATCTGCTCTTCCTGTCCTCTAAAAACGAGGTGAAGTTGTGAGGGATGATTGAAAAAAGCCCAGGAGACTGCAGAAGGACGCGTCAGGAAACAGTTATTGGAAATGTGTTGTAACTTGCTTTCATAGGAAGAAAGTTTTTACCAGCTTCGGGCAAGGCGGCGTCTGGTGATAGCATCATCCTTTCCAACGGTTCCAATTCGCGTACAAGAGATATACCAGCACGGCGTACCACTGCACACCACCATCCACCTTCTGTATCGCTTTTCTGAAAAAGAAAACATTTTTCGCTAGAAACAAGTCAATATAGCATAATAAATCATACAATTTCCATGTCCTTCGACTCTAATGGGGCAGGTATTAGTTAATACTATCCATGTTTCAGTGACCAAATGTACAACAGGTTATAAGCCATACCATACATGTGAGACAGAAATTTGGGATTCAAATCAGAAACCTCAAGATCACAAATCATATGTCCTAGATAATAGCATGTGTCTGTCAAATTAATTGAATTAAAATATCTAACGATACTTCAGTTAAATATGCCTTCTTCTTACATGAGTAGAGACCAACAGTCCGAGCGGCTTTTGCAAATTTTCCATGTACTGCAAACACCAGCTGTACAAGTCAGACCAGCACCTACAAATTAAGTACTCATTTGAATATAATAATACAGCAGAAACAATGACTTCTAGAAGAATGTCCCGGCTTACGTCTTAAGTACCAGGCTTAAAAGTACAGCAATTTTTACACTTGTAAGTCCAGTAAGTGTATGTGATGCCAGACACCTTTAAGACAAAGCACCTACAACCTGGTGGTGAATATATCTTAACAGACGACTCTAGTTGAGCCACGCAACAACTTATGCTGTTTCTCGAATGGGCAGGCGCGTCCGGGGAGGAATCATGGCCTCACAGAAGACCTGCGTGAAGTGGGGACATCTACAACACACATTTGCGAGTCATTGGGAGTTGCAAGTGCCTATGGGCGGCGGTATTCGCTAAACATCAGGTGAAGCGCCTGCTCGTTTGACAATTTTTTAACACAAAAAAAAAAATACTGGTCCATGTGCTAATTTGCTTAAAATAAAAAAGTAGCCATTAAGGCATACAGACTTGTGCATGAGGTGGGAGTGGTCCGGGGAGGCGGTGCGCGCGGCGAGAGTGCGCAGACGCGCCTGCACCGCGCCCACGGCCGCTTCGCCCACCTCACCCTCGCCGCCCGCTCCGCCCGCCGGCCCCCCACCAGCCTCGTTGCCGCACCATGTGCGCCGGTAGATCTGAAATGGTCCAATGGTTATTATTTTGTTTTATAAATACAAAGTAAAAAAATGCTATTACTATGAAAGTCAGAAGTCCTATAGTAGTCAGAAGAGACTTGAAAAAAAGCCCTGAATATTATCTTTCACGATTTAGAGGAAATTGTTAGGTGTGTAGAATTATTTTCCATGAATTCATCTGTTGCATCAAAAACACTACCTATTAATATGATAAAGGAAAATGGAAGACATCCACAGTAGAACAAAGATAACCAACATAGCTCAGAAAATTAATAAGTTGAAGCAGCGATAGCCCGGTTTAGCCATATAGCTTGTACATAGATACAATAACCAATAGGGAAGAAAGGTTCTCGAGTGGCAGTCTCGTACTGCCTATCGCAGTTTAGAGCACAGGATGTAATGACGATTTGTGCAAGTGTGCAGGAAGTCGATGGACACAGGTGGCTCTATGACAGTGGACTCAAACAGGCTGAAATGATGATGATAATGATACAATGATAAGCTATCAATATTTTGCGTACATTATCTTCCAAATTTTCCTTTGAGACTTTAAACCTTCCACCAATTTATAGTACTTCAGCATTTAGTTGATATGCAGAGTCATGATGACATTCGGTAGATTTGAACCAAACTTGTAAGGCCCATTTCAAATAGCGTACCACGAGTGCTTTCTTGATAACAGCGGGCGGAAACAGGCCGGGCGCTAGCAGTCGGTCACGGTACTGCTGGTGCGAAGACAGATTAGGCAACGGAGGAGGAGGTTCGCGGCCAGCTACGCATCGCCATGACACCTCCGCGCCCAAACTGCTACCTAATTTTTATTTATATCATGAGGATTTTATTATACAAACAAATTAAAATTTTTAACACTATTATCATGGTAACAGACCAATGTGTAATATACATAAACTACATATAAAACCATCATACTGAAGTAAAAGGTAACTGTAATCAGTTTTTACATATAAATCAAAACAAATTATTGCTATGAGACTAACTTGTTATAACAGCATCACCATCAGGCTGATTCCATAAAGCCCATATGACGTGGTTGCCATCCCCATAGCCAATAGTGTAGTCTATTAAATCAAGCTGGAATTTTTAATCATGAGTTCAGGACATGATTTAATAGATTTGTGACTAATTAAAAATCATACAATCTGTTAAATCAAAATTACCTGGGGTCCAAATATTTGGCACATTTGTGAGAATTTAACAGCGCCGCCACCACCGTCGTGCATTTTTACAACCACAAATTCACTATCATTCGGAAATGAAAGGTACACTACAAGTATTATGCCCCTATCTGTCCCTAGGGTGCTCCGCAGCATATGCCCTTGAGCTGAAATAAAAGCAATAAATGAGTCATGAGTAACAATGTAATTAAACACAATTTCTTCATAACGGTAGAGAACAAACTTCAATTATAACATGAAATTTAATGAGTTTGAATAACATTCCAATCTGTTAGTAAACTTACGTGGAGGCTTTGGTCTCACTAAAGCTTGTGAGAGAGGTGATGACACTGCGGTTGGAGCTCCACCTTCATCAAGTGTCCAAGCACGAAGACAAGTATCCCCACATATTGCAACCACTAAACCATTTGTAAGCACCACACCATATGCTTCAACACCATCCATGTTACTTTTGCCTCTAGGTATAAACAGTACAACTTATAAGAACTATTAACTATTTGAAAGTTGTAAAAATCCTTAAAATTTCAAACAAAATGTAAATAACTTTGCATATTCAGAAAACAGAAATAAGACTTAAAGCTCTGTAGACCAAGTACTAACATATTCAAACAATGAACCAAATAAATAAAACAATTATGCAACCTTAGTGCTCCTGTGATTCCAGACAAGAATCTAGGTACAGTTGATTCCCGTTTTAGAACTGTAGTGACAGCAGATCCTGTTACAGGTAACTTAACCAGCAACAGGCCACCTTCACCCCCATAACCAAATGCTAGTGCAAACACGGCTTCACCACTGTCTCGGAGCATAGATGAACAAGTGTGTGCCACACCTGTTGCTAAAAAAATACAAATATAAATGCAGAAACTATTGTTGTAGAGAATACAAGAAAATACATTTGTTTTAACGCAAAGTAATACGTCATTCATTCTTAAATTGAATATTGCTTGTTTAAGTTGTTGTTATGGTCAAGTGTGAGTCAAACTCGTACGCCGAGGGTTCCGTACCTACCCATTATACCGCCTTAATAATTGGGAAATAATCACCACCGATTTTCTAAGGAATGGGTTTCTAGCAAATTGAATTATTTCACACGAAAACTTAATTTCTACGATAATAGAGCGCGCGTTGACATTCGCGTGACATATTTCTTGCGAGCTGCCGTCGAATTTTGATAATTGTAAGTATATTTGTAATGTTTTCTTGACATTGAAATGAGATGTATTATTAAGTTTAAGATTAATATTATCTAAAGTGATAGTTTTTTTACATAATAATGGACTCATGGAGCATGGAAGGAAGAATTTCTAGACGGTTGGAAGAGAAATGTTCTGATAACAATGACATAGAAAAAAGCGATTTAAGCTGAAGACTTTTTGTTAGAATTGCTACAGCATACGGATACATAACAGGATGAAGTTTCAAAAAGTCCATTTCAGAAAATAATGTAAAAGGTACTATGACTAGCATGACGGAATCAAATTGGATCCAAATTCAGAATCTGATAATAATTTTCCGCTAAGTTTATTGAGAAATCAGTGCTATACATTCAAAAATGATACAATATGAAGAAAACATCTCTATCCCAGCATAAGGACTAATTCACAGAAGAATTGGAAGTAACCTTTGGTTCGTCGGAACGTAGATCTGCGCGCCAAATTGTGCTTCCGTTGACTGTCGGAACGTAGATCTACGCCAGATCGTTTATTAGCTATTTGCTGACTAGATAGAGTTAATTTCCCCGTGAAACTCGATCGAGAAATTAGCGAAGGAATAAATGAACCGTACTTTGATAGCTAAAAGAATTATTACTGGTAAAAACCTATTTATTCTTTCACAACTATTTCGAATATCTCCATGTTTTCATTTATATATTTGAATTACTGATTTTTGTGAAACATATATCGAAAACGGTAAGTATTTTTTCTTTTCGTATCATTTAGTACATAAAACAATGATAACGTATCGAAAAAATGCAATATTACTAGGAATTTAACGATAAACGAAGAACATAAAATGTATGTATCCGTTCGTCATCTCTATTCCATTTTCGACTACTGATATTTCGTAGTTTGAATTACACATTCTAATTATTTTACACATCATTTTGATTCTATACAGATATTATAAATAAAATGTAAATTTGAAAAAACCATTCCATCTAACAGAAATTTCGTTCGTGTCAAATTGTAACGCTATAAAATTTTAAGATAATGTAGAGTACATTTTATCCACTTAGTGTTAATTTACCTATTTTAATGAAAATGAACAAAAATCTAGATAGAAGGGTTGTAGCACACTGCAACGGTCTATAAAAGGAACAGCGCTAGCCATTTTCGGGGCCAATCCGTTAGTCATAGGTGCCGTCACCTACAGACCCTTACCGCTAGGTACGTTCCGTCGCAAATGGCGCAGACCACGACACATCCTCGATTTCCCTGACGATGAGACGACTATTGCCATCGACAGGATAAAACAATTACGCAAACACACCAGATCACACCATGGTTTCCCCCCGTTAATGGTAGAAGCGTCGCTGGAGTTTCTTCCGCCACTTCTTCTCCCAGCGCCAACGCTTTCCGAAGTCGTAGTAATGTTAGACATAGAAATTCTTCCAGTCAGATAATAACTACCGATTGAGATCGGAATGCTAAACGGGTATTGAGTAACAGCCTAAGCTGAGATCCGCTCTCGGGGGCCCTTGAGCCTAGTCACTCCATGGAGCGTCCACCAAAGCGCGCTAAGAACTTGGTGGCCTCCCAAACCGGTAATGATAATAGCGTGATGGCCTGAGCCGAGGCTCCCTCGGAAGCCCTCGAGCTTAGTCCAAAACCAAAACGCATAACCGAGGTTCAGGCTAGGCGCCCCGAGCGTGCTACTCAGGTCCTCACAGGACGTGGGTGTTTTGAGAGGTATCTGTTTCGCATGGCAAGGAGGGATGGCCCATCGCGGAATGCAACCATTGTGACGTATGTGCCGAGGAGACAGCCCAAAACGCGCTGAAAGAGTGCCCAGCCTGGACGGAGCAGCGCCGAGTGGCACGACCTCTCGCTACCATCCGTGTTTCGCGCTATAGTTGATAGCAAGCTAGCTAAGGGACGCAACACCCACCCTGGATATCCAACGCCGTTGACTAGGGCGCAGGAAGCTGGCCTACGCGCGCAACCTTCCCCCCTGATAGTGAGACCCTAAAGGGCAGGCATGGGGGTGTCTGTCGCTCAATATGGAGCTCGTTACGTGTGCGTACCAATTGCACGGGCACAGCACTATGTAGTAGAGAGAGACAGGAGGCCCAAAACGGCCATAGTCGCTCCGGGGTCGCGGAAGATTGCGTTCACGTGTTCGCGTGTCCCCGGCCGGAGCGACAGAGACAGGTGCAACGCGGGTTTTTTAATGGTTACCCGTTCTTATTGGGACTCTCACATACTCCTTCCACTCCCCCGATGAAGTGGCAGGGGATACATAAAAAGGCACCTCGAGCGCCCTGCCACCTCAAGTCCGGCGGATCTGTAAAGGCCCCTACGGCGTGCGGAAACTCTACACGAATTTATAACGATCGTGTCGGTTACTTAGAACTCTACGTAGTTTGGCTTACTGGCCGCTTAGTTCTTTTCAACCGACTTCAAAAAATAAGGAGGTTCTCAATCCGACGGTATTTTTTTTATGTTTGTTACCTCAGAACTCTGAGGAGTAGGAGAAAAAAACATAAATGTACCAAGTGGCCATCACGCCTGCGGAATCCAATTGATCTACCCACAGCATCGCTTCATGCAGCTGGAGCTTCGAGAAAGTATCAACCCGATCCGTAACTGTAGTCTCACCTTTATACCTCCCAGAACAGCACCATTTCCCACAACCCAAACGACCGCAAGCGTGACAAGTAACCTTGCCATCATCCGACTCAGGCGCCAAGCCACCAAACTCTTAGGGCGCTTTGGTGGACGCTCCATGGAGTGACTAGGCTCAAGGGCCCTCGAGAGGGGATCTCAGCTTGGGCTGTCACTCAATACCCGTTTAGCATTCCGATTCCGAAGGTGCCGAAGAAGGCTAGACCTCGGCTCAATCGGTAGCTATTATCTGACTGGAAGAATTTCTAAGTCTAACATGACTACCAATCCGGAAAGCGTTGGCGCTGGGAGAAGTGGCGGAAGAAACTCCAACGACGCTTCTACTCGCCGGCGAGTGCGGTAAGATCTGATGTGTTTGCGTTACTGTTCTATCCTGTCGATGGCAATAGTTGTCTCATCTTCATGGACATCGAGGACGTGTCGTGGTCTGCGTCATTTGCGACGGAACGTACCTAGCGGTAAGGGTCTGTAGATGACGCCACCTACGACTAACGGATTGGCCTCGAACACGGCTGGCGCTGTGCCTTTTATAGACCGTTGCAGTGTGAAATACAAATTGTTTGTATGCTGTAAATGATATAAGAATAAATACACAAAGCTATGCTTGGAATGCGAAAAAACAATGTAGATTTTTTTAGTTGATCCTGTGTTGTAAGGACGTTTTGCAAACATAAATTTCACGCGGACAAACACCCAGATGCGAAACAACTATCTGTGGGTCACACAAATAGTTGTCCCGTGTGGGAATCGAACCCACGACGCTCGACGCCGAAGCCAATATCTTGGAACGGAGTCATTAATAAATTTTTTTTGCTACAAATTTTATTGTTTCGTTTTAAGTGCCGAGAATAGCACAATAAAAAAATACTTTGATTTTTTTTTTATTGGGAGTAGGAAAGGAGCTTACTTAAAAATTGAAACATCCTGTGTAGTCAGTGTCGGAACGTAGATTTGTGTTCAGACTGTTGTGTCGTAACGTAGATCTGCGCTACTAACGCACCAATAAATTATGATATTTATCCTAAAATTTCTTAAGTTTTATCAAAGAAATACACATTTTATTTATATTTATTCAAAACAACATGTATTCTGTTTTCATAACATGGAAATAAAAAAACTAAAACGTTTATCATGAATTACTTATTGATATTTTTCTTTAGGATGTTGTATTTATTGATAGCTTATAGTAAGAATTGCTTCTAGTAAACAAAACAAATATTCTCCAAAGGCAAAAAGATAATAAGTGTAAAGATTAGCCATCCATATAGCTTTAAAATAAACCTGAATCATATAGATTATGGTTTTCACTACAAATATTGTTCCGAAGAAAGACGCAGTTGCAATTGCGCGACTGTTTTTCACCGACAGGCAGCGCATTTTTCATAATGCGACCCGACAGACCAAGGTTTAAAGGCAAAATATGGCCAATTTATTTTAAGTTTTTCAAGAAGGCTGTTTTATAGCTCCCACTTTTTTTGTAAGGAGAATTTTTTATCTGATTTAGTTAAATAAGCTTTTATAAGTATTAGACTGATGAATTTTAAATACATCAATGTTTCATTTGAAAAACCTTAGATTAGAAGTGTTCTACATACGTAGATCGCGTGCGCACTAACGTCCAAGCAGAGCCGCGCCTACTGGAGTGTTAAAAGGTGGCAACATGTCTGTGATCCTATGGGTGTTGCAAAATGTCAATGGGCGGCGATTATCACTTAACATCAGGTGAACTATCAGCTTGCTTGTCACTTTCTAATATAAAAAAAAAGTTTATACAGGAATACAACATCAACTGAGGCCCACATTATTAAAAAGTAGCAATACATCTGCAACGCTTGCAAATGCCAATGGGTTGAGGTTATCACTTAACATCAGGTGAACTGACAGCACACTTGCCACCTTCTTACAAAAAAAAAAATAGAAAAAAACAAAATTCACTTACTCGTATTGGCATATTGATTTAGAATATAGTAGTTAATTGGATTGTTAACAGCACTTGTATCATGAAATATGGATGTTGAAGTGCTATTTATTGATCCAAATGTTGACTGAAAAGCAAAATAATAAAACATAGAACATGCAACAAAGAATGAATTTAAGAACATAATATTTTATTTGTATAATTTAAGGACCTTTTTCTCCAATGATTCTGGATGTGGAAAAACAAGTCTGTGCACTGATGATACTGTAGCAGCCAAAATAATAAGCTCTTGAGAAGCCAACCTTTCATAAAATGTCAGGTTATTTAATGGTGGAGTTCCAGGGGCTACTTTACAGCGTAAATTTGAAGCAGACAAGTTGACATCCAGAGATGCTTCTGATAACTCTATTGCATCTGCAGTTGTTTGCCTACAAAATGTTATAAGATGAGAGTTGTTCAATTTGTAGATAATTAAAAATGGATAAATCTTTATACATGCCAATAAATAAACCGGTTCCTTGTGTTGGCTTTTTTTGAATCCATATACCAATAACCACCAGCTTTTTGTGGAAGTTTAATATCTTGTAATGTGCTGTGGGTACCTCCTAAAATAATATATTAGAAATATATATTTCGAGCTCAGAACAAATAGAAAACGCACGAATTAACTCAAAATGAAACCTGTATTTAATGCAACTTCCTTCCATTTATCTGAATAATTATGATTTGGAGCAATTTCTTTGAAAGCAACCGGTATACTTTCCATAACCTCCATTTTGATACTTTTTATATTCGAACACAGTATTAAAAAAACAATATGTTTAATACTAGAAATAATTCTTTAAATGAAAATTTTATTGATTGAAAATTTAAACTAAATATGTGCGTTAAACATAACCAAAGTAACCACAATCACAACAATTCAACAAAAAATATACAATCAGTGTTACCAACTGTCCAAAAATAATACACCTAAATTAATTCGAAAACCCGCTAAAATTGAAAAGATTGAACCAAAAACTTCCTAAATTTAAAATCACGACTTTTTATATTATCTAGGTATAGTCAATACTATAATTTTGAATATATCTTGATAATATAATTTAGGGCGGAATAATCCAAAATATACAAACAAGACACATAGGCCTTGGCCTGACGTCGACGAAAGCACAGCATAGCATAATTAAATTTAATTTTTTGTTTAAAGTAAGTAGTTTTGTGTAGTTTTTCTTTCACAAATGTGAAAGAAAAACTCCTAAAAAACTTAGTTCCAAAAAATTCAAAAGCTGGCATCCCTGTATACATTTAACACCATAGAGTATAGAGTAATTAGTAATAATATTAAAATTCAGTGTTATCAACTCTCAAAAATATTTGTCCCTAAAGCTAAAGTAGAAAAACCCTAAATTGCCCTATTTCTAAAGGTCCCCAAATTCACACAGGAGGACTCGGTAGTGTAATCGTTTATTGAAATAAAAACAAAGTCATTCTTTAGTTAAAAAAAATTGCCATTCTATTCCCTAATCACGGGAATTACTGTAGATGCACCGTAATCTAGTTTTATCACGGTATTGCATTACGTTATTGTAAATACTTCATCATATACTGCGTAAAACGAATCTCAGTCATTTAACTTAACTTTTTTAGGGTTTCATATCTTAAAAGTTAAAAAAAGGATTATTATTAAATCACTGTTTTATCCGTCTGTCTGTCTGTATGTCAATACCGATTTTCTCAGGAACGGGTGGACCTAACAAGTTTATACCAGATGCAGAGGTCTAAAGTCCCCATTAGATGTATATAATCAAGGTCTTCGGTCAACACGATAAAAAGATATGAGCAAATTCATATTTTCGCGAAAACTTGTAAGTACCAAAATTTACCAAAATTTTCAACTTTTTATATTTTTTGGATTTTTCCTTTACTTGTGCTGTAAGACCTTGCTTTTATCCAAAATTAACAATTCTAGGTCAACTGAAAGTACCCTAGATAATTTGAACTCATTGAACGTTGCAGCGTTAAATAAAATCATGCAAACTGACGTAAGTATCACGGTAAATAGTTGAAGAATTTAATTAGTTCATCATCTTTTTCAAACGATAAATCATAAAAGCAAAATATATAAAAATTGTACTTATTTATATTGTACTTATGTACATTTGCAATTTTTTTACTTTTTTGATTTGTTGAAAGAAAGATCCGAAAATTGTTAACTTCAGGGTCATACACGTCTCACACTGATGGTTTCATAGAATTAGTAATTCGTATTTTCATGGTATTGGCTTAAAGGTCTTGTTACCAGGCTATATAATATTTGATGAAAAATAATATTCTCGTAAATGTGCACCAAACCAACGTTTCGTTAAAAATATATCGAAAAGGATACGAATTCGATAGTCGAAAATAAATATCGATATATCGGGAATAATAATATCGACGATATTTATCGATACCACCACGATCGGACAGCTTTGGTCTAAAATTTTCAATAAATGAAAAAGCTAATACAAGCAAACTTAAGATCAAGTGTAGACCAGTCACTACTAATAGAATAAATGCTTTTAGAGACAAAGTGGCACATCATATGTTAAATAAAGATATAACCCTAATGATTCTTATACATCAATGGTTGACTTTCTCATATATTCTTATAATGATACTTTTAAATCGCGGACAATTGTTAAGAATTCAAAATTAAAATTTAGTGACTGGGCAACAGTGGGTATATATAAAAGTAGGGATTCATTGTATGAATTATATAGTATGAGGCAGTGGAATCACGATCCTAACTTCCATAAACGGGTACAAACGTTTTCAAAAATATTTAAAAAAGTCTGTGTTCAGGCAAAATCTATTTATATAAGAAATAGCATAATAAATTCCAACAATAGAACTAAAGCCACATGGGACATCATTACCCGTATATCTGGAAGAACCAAGATATTCAGGGAACCTATAAAACTAGTTATAGGTAATACTCCCATAATATCAGATAACGAAATTGCGAGTAGTTTTGAAAGCTATTTTTCAGAAATTGCGGTTAATGTCACACGTACATTAAAATCATCTCCCGCAGACGCAATAAATGTATTAAGAAATAATGTTACCTTTTGTCTACACACATTTAAATTTAATCACGTAGATACTTATGATATTATAAAAGTTTTGAATTCTATTAATCTTAAAAATACAGAGGATTTATGAGGTATGTCCATAAAATTAATGAGCACAATAATGCCATATATTGCACCACATTTGGCTTCTATTTTTAACAACTGCATAGATTCTGGAATATTTCCAGATCTTATGAAATTTAGTAAGATAATACTTGTCTACAAAAGTGGTGATAAAAATGATCCAGGCAACTGTAGACCTATTTCCATATTGACATCTCTTAGTAAAGTTTTTGAAAAGTTAATATTAAATCAACTTTTACTTCATTTTAATGTGAACAAAATCTTTCACGACGAGCAATATGGATTCACTAAAGGCAGATCGACAACAAATGCGGGCGTCGCACTTGTCAAACATATTTATAACGCCTGGGAAAGGTCGCAAGATGCAATAGGTGTCTTTTGTGACCTTTCAAAAGCCTTCGACTGCGTAGACCATAAAACTCTCCTTCAAAAGCTAGAATATTATGGCATTCGTGGCATCGCCCTCAATCTCATTGCCTCTTACCTTAGTAATAGAATTCAAAAAGTATCTATAAATGATGTTAATTCCGTTGGGTCCACGATGAAAATGGGTGTCCCACAAGGATCAATCTTGGGTCCATTATTATTTTTAGTATATATTAATGATCTCCCCTTTTATGCCAGTGGGTTGTGTGATGTTGTACTGTTTGCTGACGATACATCGCTAATTTTTAAAGTTGACCGAAACGTATTAAATTATGACGACGTGAATAGTGCACTATCACATATCTTCCGCTGGTTTACTATTAATAATATGGTATTAAATGCCAAAAAAACCAGATGTATTCCTTTTACCCTTCCCAGTATAAGAAGGAAAAGTTTTAGGTTAATATTAAATAACGTACCCATTAATCCAGTTGAGTCTGCTGTATTTCTGGTAATCACAGTAGATTCAAAGCTCCAGTGGAGTCCCCATATATCATCTCTTGCGATTAGGCTGAGCTCCGCTGTTTTTGCGATTAGAAGGGTTAGGCAGCTAACAGACATCGACGCTGCCAGACTTGTTTACTTTAGTTATTTTCACAGCATCTTGTCGTACGGAATTTTGTTGTGGGGTAGTGTATCCGATATAAATTCTATGTTTATTCTACAAAAAAGAGCTGTTCGAGCAAGCTACAATATCGGAGCCCGGAATTCACTCAGAGATCTTTTCAAAGAGGTTAATATACTCACTGTTGCTTCTCAATACATTTATTGTAATATTTTGTATATACGACATAACCTTAATTATTATCTAAAGAATATTGACAGACATAAAATAAACACTGGAAATAGGGACAAACTTACTACACCATTGTTTCGTCTGCAAAAAGTAAATAGGTCGTTCATGGAGCAAAGTGTGCGCATGTGTAATAAAATCCCACAGTTGATATTAAGTCTGCCGCTTGACCAATTTAAATGTAAAATTAAAAATCAACTAATGATTAAAGCATATTATACCATTTCGGAATATTTCGACGACGCCAATGTGTGGAGTTAATACTGTTGATACTCACGTAGGCTAGAATAAGACTATTATACCTGTATATTATATTGTACCCTGATATTTTAGAAAAAGAGCAACTGTTGAGTTTCTTGCCGGTCTCTTCTCAACAGAAACTGCTTTCCGAACCGGTGGTACCTTACGAACCTATATACATAATCTTTGTTGTAAAATTTGACGTTTCATAAGAGCGCGCAAGCGTCTATTTGAATAAATATATTTTTGATTTTGATAATTATTTGGAAAAATATCGATATTTTTATATATCGATATTTTTTGTCCATGCCTAATCATTACATTGAGTTGGAGAGATATACCAGTATATAATTATATATGTCATTCACGGATGCCAACTTAGGAGTTTTCTTCCTAAATTTAGGAAGAAAAAATTTACTATGGAAGTTTTTTAAGAGGAGAATTTTTTTGGAAATAGTTTTAGGAATAAAATTTTATTCAAATTTTTGAAATAAAAACCTACACAATTTTAAACACGAAATATAATATAATAGTATTGGCAGTATTGTATATCGTATATATAACAGTGACTAGTGTTGGCTGCATTGGCTTATGTAGTATTTTAAATTGTTCCGCCCTATACACTTGCCATCGGATATGTTCAAAAATATGCAGCTAAGTGGAAAATGAACAATGAATCAGGCATGTTTAATTCAGATCTCTTATGATTGAATGGTGCTTGTTCCCATTGTTTATTGTCTGATTTTTAAAAATAATGAAAATTATTTTAACGTTACAATAAAATGTATTTAATTTGTATATTTTTCAAGTCAATGAAAAGTGTTATAGCTCAAGTACATTAATATTAAAATAAAACAATTTTGAGTACCCAGATACTAAATTTTTTCCGATAATTATTCTACCTTGATAGATAATTTAAAAAAAATGGTGACTTTTTCATTTAGGAAGTTTTTTTTTTCAACTGTTGGTAACACTGATGTGATTATATGTCTAGTGTCTTATCTAAGGATGGAGCGATTGGAGACAGATTATGTTCCATATAGTCATACCATAGATAAGACATATATACCGAAAGAAAGACATCTAGTATATATACTGGGAGTCATACTTTGATAAATT